ACAAAGGCGTCCTGCGTTGCCCATCCAACGTGTCGAACGGGCTGCCGGCGTCAAGGAGGAAGCGGACAACTTGGATACAACCTTCCTTGCTCCAGGTATCATAAGAACGCTCGCGCACAATGCACACTGCAAGCGGTCATACGCAGCCAGCCACGCAAGAGAAACGTCAACATCGTTCAACAAATAGTTGCTTCGTGACATCGCAGAACAAAAACCGAAAAAAAAACAAAAAAAAAAAACGAATCATCCCCCGCATTGCCCCGGCCTCACAAGCCACGTGGATGGGCAACTTCTTCAGCTGGTCCATGCCCTCCAATTCCGCGCCTTCTTTCGGGGGTGACTGCTGCTAGAAATCGCTAGAAGTCTCCACACGAGTGTATGTAAACGGTAACAACAATCAGAACAACAAAACCACTCAAAAAGGAGTAAGCCATGCGTCGTAGTTTACGACACATGAACTCCGTGCGCTGACAGGGAAACGGCGCAGTCCCGGCCTGCCCGGATCAGAGCCTGGCAGGTGGCCTCCGAGCCCGAGGCGGCAGCGCAGTGCAGTGCCGTGCGCTTCTCCTATCTGAGATGGAAGGCGCACAACAAAAGCACGCATGAAATGAACAAGTGGAAGAAAAAGAATGAACACGCAATACTGAATTATCATAGGGATGGGTGCTGAGAATTCCATGAAGAATGAGGACTCTAAAACCAGCTCACGCAGTTGACGCCTTGTCGACTGAATGGGCATAAGCGCCACATTCCAGAAGTGCCTGCCCCCAAGGCTTCAAAGGTTGGCAGAAGCACAACATCTCAATGAAGCACCCGGGTCAAATATAAATGGTGTAAGCCTCGGCAATCGGCATACAGGGTTCGATGTGTTTCGATGCTGGTGTCGCCTGTCCTCGCTAATGATCTAAGTGCGGGCATGCCCTGTCTCTCGTTTCCCTTAGTATGATAACCGCCCAAGCTCTCGAAAAAGCCCTCGATCGACGATATTCACAGCGCCTCTGTGGCGGAGACATGGCCACCATGACTCGCAAAATGCCTCAGGCGCTTTTTCTGGCCGATTCTGGGCCAAGCCAAGAACACATGCGACAGTGAGTGGTTCGTTCTATGACGTTCTATGCAACTCTTTAGATGCTTTCTCCTCTGTGCGGCTTGCAATCCAGAGAGGATCACTGTGTTCAACACATGTCAACACCAAACTGAGTCAAACAAAAAAATCTAAGTCTAAGCCAATGCCAACCTGGGTGGGTGACAGCGGCGTCCATCCATCTGAAGCTTCGACATTGGCAAAAGTTGGATCCTGGCTGACTCTGTAACAGCGACGCAACGGTAGCAGCCACGCGCCCTATCTCGTGCAAGGTACCTGGTTGACGGCTCGAAGACCGACATGTCACAAGACGTAACGTTCAAGCCAGATTATAACTTGCCGCAAACTCCGGGCAAGCCTTCAACTCATGAGCAGCTAGCCGTCCTGGGAGATGAGCAGACGCAAAGCTTCGTCCCGGCCACGCAAGGCTGCCTCAAAAACAATCCAACCTACTCACTAATTACTTTTGCCGCGTTTGCCCACAAATAGCTCTGAGCTGAGTGTTCTGGTATGTTCAGTCCATATTTCTACTCTTATGGCCAAGTGGCGGTGTGAACCGGAAGCAACCCGCCATCATCTCTGAGCTTGGCATTTGCCCCATACTCCTGGCGAGTCACAGCATTTCCATTCATCACTGGTCTTCAGAAGCCGCTGCCAATTCGCACGCCACCTTCGGATGATATCACTTTTTCAGAAACAGCCTCTTCTCGATGCGGGAGGTATGCCAGGGCCAGGTGGGCGGATGCTAATGCGGATGGAACATCCACAGGCTGGCAAATCTCCCATCCCGGCGCCACAAGCATAATTACGGTTCATCCGCCCCAGGCCTGAGGTGCTTGGGGGGCGCGCCACCTCCAAACCTCCTGTGGCCCGCAATGGACCCCTACCTCGTATGTACACTGCGCACTGTACCAGTGCGCCTACGGTCTTTAGAACCCCCTGTACCCCTTATACCCCTGCTAGACCCTCCTGATGATTGAATGGCTTCCTGCAAGACCCCTTCACAACCCTCAGTCTTGCAACCCCCATCCCGTCATGGCTCTGTGCAAACTCACACGACAAAACTCATTTCCATGACCGGGCGCTGCATGGACCCCTGCTATGAAAGCCGATGGACATCAAAGTCACCTCCCGAAGCCCGCTTTCTGGCCTCTGTCTTCTATCATCATCTCGTTATTCTTTCTCTTGATTTGTTTGTGCATCATGCTCGGTCCGATGTGAGTGCAACTTCCACTTCCTCTAACCCTCTGAATCGCATGACATCCTGACAGAAATGAGTGAGCGCATGGCTGTTTTGCATGACATCTATGGACGGACGTATTTGGAACCTCCTATAAGGGCCCTTGTGGCCCGCCGGAATGCCATAAGGCTCTGCATGACCATCTGCACGGGGTGAGGCCGAGGCGATGCGCGCGAGTGCAACAAGAGTATCACCTGACAAATGAACTCTGCCACAGCAGGAATCAACCCCCGCTCCAGCAGCGCAAGGAGGCAGTCCACAGCACCGACGTGTGCTGCACGGTGCAGCGGCGTCTGGCGCAGTGCATCGCGCTTGTCTGCGTCAGCTCCTGGCCAAGATGTCGCGGAGAAAGTGAAGAAATGAGGAGCCGAATGGCGCTGAGAGATGCTCTCAAAAATGGTCAGGCTAACAGGCTGGGAGGAGTACTGACAAGGAGCTGAAACTCATCCAAACCCATGCTCTGTTCCCTGATGGCAGCCCACACGTGACGTGACACAATATGACGCAGGTGGTCCAGCTGCCAGAAGATCCACCACAATGTTTGCATAGTTGCCATCACACGCTGCGTGAAGCGAGGTCTGCTGCGCGGAGTTTGTTCTTTCCTCGGAGACAGCGTCCTAAAGTGACAGAGGTACATTGCCTGTTCAGCTAGTCCACTCATGACAGCTTCAGCTGCAACCCAGTGACTATATCTGCGCCCCGCTGATGGACCAGCATCTGAACCATGTCCTGCAACAGAACTCAAAAGTGAGGATGTTCCATCACCCCTCATTCAGTGCAGCGCGAAGCAAAACATGGCCCAGACCCTGCCCACGACCACGTTTGACCCGTTATTTCTGAAGTACTGGCAAAGTGACGGGCAACGTAACCAACTAAAACCTTGTGCAAGCACAGCAATGGTAGCAATAGTAACAGACGCTGCAGCAATGCACGGCACTTCTTTTCGTGCTACGAGTACTGGCCTGGTGGCCACGCATGGCCGCAACGTGCAGCAGGGAGCCCTGACATTGGCAAGGGACGTCTGTGTCTGTCTTCAATACTTCAGTATCCCCCCCCCTCCCCCCACGGCATATGCACAATGACTCATGGACTCAACTGATATGATCGCGCAGACTCCCGCTCTTCATTCTCATGCCCACTGCCAGTGCCGAAGCGCGGCATTGCCAGGAAACGTCAATTCTCTCTGCATCCCTATGCAATGCCTCAGCATTGTTTCGGACATTGTTTGGAGAGCAGCCTTAACGCCTCCACTTTAAGCAAGCGGCGCAAGTTTTTCTTGTTATCTGCCACTACTTTCCTCATGAAGTCATCAGGCTCGCGACCCCTCGCGAAACACATCAGGCACAGCGTGCAGCCACTGCATTTCGAGAACGGCAATGGTCCCAGCATGTCTTGCTTCCAAGCAGATGCCGGGGGAGGACATCGATCTCAGCACGACTCTGAGCCCAACTCGGACACTTCACGCGCCAAGGCCCGTGAAGTGTCCGCAAGGCGCCTGGTCGAAGAGGACTGGCATGTTGACAGCTTCAGGCCTGGCATCGCAGAGGATGGCGGGCACAACTTGAGCGAGAGCAAAAGGAACTGTTGCCCAATTACTTCCAGTTGCTACTTTGTTTTGCTACTTAACTCTTGCGAGCCCCCGTGCCAGGACAGCGAACAACACATGGCACCTGTCGAGCAGGTAGGAATCCAAGTTCAGCAGGTCCTTCCGGGACTTTTCAGATTTCATGCAAAAGCCTTTTGATGTCCTCCGCTTTGGCTCTAAACACCCTCTGAAGTCGCAAGCCGAGGCTCCTTCTTAGCACCCAGCTGACGAAGTGCGTCACGTGTGCGCGCAGCCCGCTGTGTTTCCTATCGCAGGCTATCGAAGGCCGCAGAAAATCGCAGCGCACAAAACGCAAATCACCGGCTGGAACAAGCCTTCGTCTCACTCTCGAAGCCACGAATCTGGTTCATAGGCCGGGTGCATGGCAAATCAAACCTTGCAAAAGCGAAGGGCGCTGCAACAAAAACTCCAGGTGTTGCGGCTTTTGCTCGCACATTGACATCCTTCTTGCAGCTCAAGGTCTCTGCCATTCTCTGCGCCTGTTTCGGCTGCCACATGATAGCCGCTGCACCTCTTTTTACCCTGCTATCTTCCGCCTCCCTTGAGCCTAATGGCTGCCATTCAAGTGGCTCGCCGCGCAAGTTTTTTGATCGAGTTAAAGCCTCTTACAACCATTTCATGATCAACTGCGCTGTACGACATGCGCGTGAACCGTGACAGTGTTTGAGAATGACGTCGGGCATCAGTACGTCATGTTGCACCCTTAACATGGCTCAAGACCGCCTCTAATGACTCTAATGGCTCTGATGCACTTGGGTGGACCGCGTCAATGCACTGAACTAGTCGAAAGCATTGTTGCCTTACCTTTTCAGATTCGAATCCTTGACATGGTCGTCGTGGCCCTAAACCTTCAACCTTAAACCCTAAACCCACGGGGTGTGATCACCAGCACCATCATGATGACGATGCTCATGATGGACTTTGACGAGTTGTCAACCCTTTTGCGATATACTGGCTGTTAGCAATGACAGGCAGCTGATTACTTGAAGCAGGCATGCATGTCAAACAGGAGCACATGTTGGTGCTTTCTGCCATTTGCGATGCGGTCGCAAGCTTGACTCTCCGAATGCTCACCCTGTAGCTCCTTCACAAAGCTCGTACTGGACGACACAACCAACAGATATGCCCTGAGAATAAGCCTTTGGCTCTGTTGCAGCAGGTGCTGTGGAATTCCCAGAAACCCTGCCACTGCACCCCAAAGTCCTGTGTCACCTTTGGTGTCATCATCATCAGCATCTGCCAGGGCATGCCTGCAAGCAAAGGCTCTACCTGCACAACCTCGTGAGCATCATTGAGACAGCCAGAGCGCAATCTTGGGTCCCTCATGCACTTGCATTGAAGAAGCTGAACCTGCTGGAAAAGATCTTGCATACCTGCACTGCACCAAAGATGTCCAAGGTGCTTCAAGTCATGCAGTGACGGCAAGCGCAAGTAGCTCTGTACCTTACATGCCATAAACACAAGAACGACTGCGAAAGCCGGGCAGGCAATCACGAGGTGGAGCACACGCTGCCACTACGGCAGCATGTTATACTGCTATAAGGCGAAAGGACGACAATGAGCCCAGTTTCGTCTTCCACGGTCTCGTCCGTCTCAGTAAAGTAGCAGCCGATGTTCTCATTCACCTGCAGGCCGTCAAGGCCACGACACAAGCAACAACCACGTCAAAGAAGCATGAGGCCAGTTTCCCAATGAGCCTGCATGGTGTGCTCCATCCCAGGAACGTAGAAGCTGCAAGGAGGGTCGTGTTTGTATATCTCAGCAGGCAGGTCAGAAGGTCAGTCTGGACAAATGACCCCAACATCCCATGCAAACGCCGAGGTTGGCACCAGCCAAGACCGCAAGCAGTGTATAGGGTTTGCCGTGAACCTGGAGTCCAAACGGAGCATGAAATTCGTACTTCAAGAAGTGCCAAGTCAGCTTCTTAGCTTGGTAAATCCCATCACCCTGAGACTTCAGGCTCGTAACTAAGCGCAGACTGCAAATCACAAGCCATCAATAACATCAATAATATTCAATAATGCAACCCAGCGTTACCGAATGGGCCTGTAAAGTCCCTTTAATAACTCTTCAGTTGAGAGGCCAGCTGCATGGCTCTTCTGCCGCCACCTCCTTGAAGGTCCTTGGCGCTCACCCCAAGCCGGCCGAGTCTTCCGAGCCCCCAATAAAAGACCTTCTGCCAACTACAGTGACTCCGTGACTCCGTGACTCCGTGACAGCCAGGAAGCTTAGCATCTGTCCGGTAGATCTTCTCGTTGTCACTTCGCAAAACGATACACGGCACTAAAAACCAAAGGACCATTGTATGGACAGCCTCGGGTTGCGCGTGGCAGTCCGAGAGCATCATGCTGGCAAGCACTGCATTCGCCCAGGTGCGTTGCGTTGCTAAGTAGGCAAGGCGCACAATGCAAGAGGAACGATGCGATGCACACACCGAACAGAGGATATGGCTCCAGGCCTGTGTGTGGGAAGGGATTGCAGATGCTTGGAAATCATTTCGACGCAGGCCGCCCCAAACGGATGGCCAACATCAACAGTTGAAAGATGATAGACGCTCAACATGCCATGTTCTCCAACTTAACTTCGGCACGCAAGTCAGAACAGTACTGTATCTACTATATCATACATGTTCCATCGAAATGCCAGGTCAAGTGGCAGTGAAAAGCATCCTTGGTGCAGTTGCCTTTGAAGATCAAGCAGACAAGCCTTGGCATGGGTGTTACATACTCACTTAACGCAGATTGGCATTCGCAAACTTGATCGACTCCCAAGCCATGCTCGAGCTTCTTCTTAGTTCCTACACAGGGTGTTTTTGATGAAGACCTAGGACAGGCGATGTATTATGCTCCTGCCGGGGTGCAGAATGCCACAAGCTGGTGCCAGAAGAACCTGGCTCCATGATCCCAAAGCAGACAATGCAACTCTTGCTGCCGGTACTTGTAGGTACTGATAGGCTGCTAGGCCTGCGCGCAGAAGTCCACATTCATGGATTGGAAAACAATGCGTGGCACCACACGCAGGACCCTGTAATGGTCGTAAGCCTGGGGCAAGCTGCCAACTCCGGGCTGCGGTTGTCTACATGTGCACCGATTTCGATGCCTCAAACCATCTGACCATAAGCTGCCGGCATATATGTAAGCATGGCTTCCGGCCAGAAGTGCAAACACCCAGTGCGTATAGCCACCAGGAAAGAAAAACCTTGGAGCACAACTCCTGGTCGCAACTCAAACTCGACATACTTCAGCCATGTTTGTAATCAGAAACGCGCGCATCAACTGGGGCATGTGCACCAGGACAGCCAGGAATACGTTCACCAAGCAGTCCTCAAGAAAAACTGCCCAAAGTGCAAGTCTTCTGACTTTCTTGATGTGCTTGGCGATTGTTAAGGTGCTGGGACTGCCTACAATGCTGGGTCGATTGGGTTCTTTGGGGGATGCAGGCCCTGCAAAGCAGGGTGACTGCCTTGTTGGCTTTCCACCTCCTTCGTGGACCAGTTTGGTCATCCTGAAATAGCTTCTCGTCGATCACTCAGCTTTAAACTGCTTTAAACAGTTTAGAAACCAGTCTCCCCAGCGCTGACCCCAGTTCGGAAATCCAAAAGGAGTTTCTGAGCCCAAGCGTCCGCATAGCGACCGAGTTCCAAGTCCAGGGCCGCCAGCCAGCCCCTGCTCTCCCAGGACTTGAGCTCTGGGTGACTCCTCACCAGCAGCCTCGTTGGAGCACATCTAAATCAGAGATAGGCCATCTCTGGCTTTCTAAGACTCTGCTGCTAGAAGAGGCGCTGTGATCTCTCTCTTCGGGCGAGGCACATGAAGAGCCGTGAGAATGAGAAGATCACGGCCAGTGGCTCGGCGAGGAAAGGAACCAGAAAAGTACACGGGAACCTCAAAACGTTTGCAGACAAACTTGCAGAGATAAAGAAGCCCGGACCACTGACGCTTCGCTCGTGGTCCACCAACTCAGACCATTCTTTTCGTCAGGGAATTGCGGAGTATGTGAGAATGTGCGACAATACGGGGTTTCCGGCTCGGCTTAGGGCTCAGATGGCACATCGCGCATCTCCAGGCTCGACTGCCCTAGAGCCCAGGAAGCCGGTCTGCAGTTCAAGCCGCGCATACTCGTAGAGCTGCTGACCCATGGAGCGCTGCAGGGCATAGCCTGGAATCAAGTAGTCTAGTGAGCAGTCAGAAGCAGTCATACGTGGTCTAATTGCCATTGGAGGCTTCTTCAAGCGAAAGGTGATGCATTCCAGGGAGCTCTCGAAGCGTTCCAAGAAGCTCTCCACCTTTACCAGCAGACGTCCATCTTCCTCGAAGACTTCTGGGTTGCAGGACAATCACAATCGGACAATCGGACTATCGGACTATCGGACAACGTGCATCTTTCAGAAGCTGCTACCAAGGCCAAGCCGCAGTTCGGAAGTCCAGTCCGATCATGATCCTTGCTCCGCGATTGACTAGATAATACTAGATACAACTGGACACACTGTCACGGGATTCTGTAGGGCGTACTCACCATTGTTCTTTGCCGGTGCCTGCTGTTCTTCTGTCGGGGGCTCGGTGAGACAGACGTGCAGCTGCACCAAGCAACAGACTAACCAGCTGGAGATGAAACTCATGTGTGGTGTGGCAGACAGCAAGTGGCATCACATTCAGCACACCGCATGCCATCGCTCAACTATTGTGGCTTCTGCACCGGCCCGCACCGGCTCCCGTCCGACTGCCGAGGAGCGTAGCGATTACTGCTGCTCACTCCACCGAACAAACTCGGGCAAATACAGCTGGTCGAGGCTAAGCACGGATGCAAGATCAGCTACACACTCCAAATAAAGGCTGTCGTGCCAAACGCTGGCGGCTTCGTCACTTACTGCACGGCCAAGGGCAAAAGCAGCCCTGAACCAGAGCCCAGGATGCAACACCAAGAGCTGTGCCATCGATCTTCGGTACTTAGCGTTGATAACGGCGAGCATCTCCTGCAAGACCTCTAGCACGGTTGTGTCCATTCCATCCACCTCGCTGTTCACGTAAAGGAGGATGAACCGATCAGTTTGAACAGCCTCCAGCTCTTTGACAAAAAGCGGCACAGTTCTCTCATCGAGAACCCCAAGAGGTGGGAGGCGTGCTCCCAGGAGAACGACGACGTGGCGGCCAAAGTGGTCTGGGCCGCCATTGTAGACGAAGCGCTTCGGCTCACTTTCAGCTGGGATTTCCCTGGCTCTCCGCAGATAGCGGAAGCAAATGTGCCTTGCTTCTTCGACTGTTTCCGCATTGATCATAGTTCCCTCCAGACGCTGCATCGCCGCAAAATCGGCATCTTCGCGAGCATGCAGGAAGGACCGATCCTCGTCGCCGAAGACGAGATCACTATCCTCCACATCGTCTTGCCGGTCTGAGATGACATGGTTCGAGACTCGAATACGTCGCTCTTCCATGCTTACCTCGCCCCATTCATTCCAGCAGCTGTCAGGAAGCACGGCTGCTGCATGCCTCGCCTCGAACTCATTTCGCGGAAAATACAACGGCAAGAGACTTTCGTACAACTCCAGCTCGCCAGCTGTTCCAGCCACCAAAACGGCACTGTCCACTGAGGCACGCAGCTTCTCCAAGCACCTGCGAAGAGTCCTCAGGCCAACATGAGCCTGTTCCTCCATTGGGTACCCTTGGCTATACCAATAGCACGGAACCGCCACGGTTCTGTGACCAGATTCCACAAGGAGCTGCATGGACTCACGGTAGCAGGCATTCAGCGTGTTCTGGGCGGCCACAAGGTACTTGTCCTGGCAGCTTTCGACTCTTTAAGGCTCGAGCTTGAGATGTTCAGTTAAAACGATGAGAGCCTGGAGAAAGATGAAGAAGATCACCGGAAGGAGCCCCAAAGCAAAATCGTCAAGCTTTGCGGTTCGCAGGGTTCGGATGTCGGGGTTACCGCGCGGCTTTGGTTCCTTGATGTATTTATTCTTCTTCTTATCTTCTTCTTCTTCACAGCCGAGACGGCCCCCAGGTCTCTCCTCTTCTTCTTCTTCTTCTTCTTGTTCTTCTTCTTCTTCTGCTTCTTCTTCTTCTGCTGCTTCTTCTGCTTCTTCTTATTCTGCTGTAGGGCTTGAAGGGCGCACGCATCCCCGCGAACTAGGCCGAGCGGTCTCTCTCTGTGTCTTTGTGTCTGCCAGTGTGCCTGCTTGCCACCCTGCATGTTTGTGTTTGCGCATGTACATCCTCGACTTGTAGCTGAGGTTTGCTAGGCACGAGCTAAGCTTGTGGCTTCAACACTAAATACAGCCTCAGCAGCGGGCACGTGTAGCGGTGGTGCTGTGCATACCCTTTGGTACTCTTCCAATTTCCAATTTGCCATGAATTGGTTTCTGACTCGATGCCAACATAGGCTCCTTGTACTTCGGCCCGACAGTGAGGAGAAGGCGCTGGCATGGCAAATTGTACGCCTTGCAGCTTCGAGCCTGGCAGGAGGGGCAAATTGAGAAAACTTCCATACAACTACAGCAACGACAGTGTACCGATTGATGCCCCTTTCAGAAAACCCACTCGTGAACTTCCGTATCTCTTGCTCAAGTCCGGCCTCCCCACTCCGGCACCCCTCCATGTGGCGGAGCTCTTCACGAAGGTCCTCTCGTGCGTAACAGGATCACCGCCTGATTCTATACCTCAACCTAAACCATCCTGACCTATTTCTTCCAAGACCATCCTGGGGCTGTCGTGAATGGTGACCAAGGGGCCCCCCTCTCGCTTTTCAATCGAAAAGCATCCGTATAGATGTCAAAAGATAATCCTCGTCATATTCGTTGCTACGTGACTATCGAATGGAAGACAAGGCAAGCAACAAGTAAAAAAGAAAACAATGCCTTGGGATTACGGCAGAATTCGTGCGAGCAATCCCTGTGCTACGTAGGAGTTTCCCAGGAGGTCCCTGCCACCGAAATGCAGCACACGGCCGAAGACAGTGCTGCAACCCGGCATGTAACCTGCCGCCACGGGTGCCAGCAAAGCATCGACCTTCCAGGCAGTCAAAAAACCGCACATCTTCTTTCCGGGGAGACCGTTTGCCCCTTACCAATGGAGGGTGAGGGCGGGGGTGGGCCGGGGGGGGGCGAGTAGCTAGGGCCGGCCCCTGCAACTTGAGGGGCGGAGGACTCCAGGGCTCAGGGTTTCTTTGAGGGCTACATTGCTACATAGGCGTTGGGATTTTAAAAGGGTTCAGGTTTGGGCTTAAAGCTTGGGCTTCCGGCTCAGGAGCAAAGCAAGGGAATATCCAATTTTAGGGGGCGTGTTCTTTGTATGGATAGCTGAGGCTTTGAAAACTTCGGATCTGCGGTCTGCTCAAGGTCTTTGATGTAGGGCCGAGGCCTTGAGCATCTATAGGCTTCATGGTGTCTTTGACACAACAATCACAAAAAGCAACACGATTCGGAAGGGCTCTCTCTCTCTCTCTCTGCCGCGCCATCCCGGAAGGGTTACGACTTGCAATTGTAGGGATCACCGCCCAGAGGTGCATTCTCTCATAGGAAAGCCAGAGTTGGAACGGCCGCAATTTTGAATTTGTCAACCTTGATGGCGCGCCAGCCACTTTGGAGGTTTGCGCACGCGCGTGCACGCACGGGCGGGCAAGGAGTCTGCCTTGCCTTCGTGCAGGGGCTCACGGACATTATATGCATGTGTGAAGATGTATACGTGCTCTCATAGGTTCTTGTGCTCCGCTTTTCACTGCTGAGGCGCTGAGGGGAGGAAGGGGGGAGGGGGGGCAGGTGTCGTTAAGATTGTGGTGTGTAGCAACAACCCGGCAAGGACATGACTCCGAGAGGCATAAAGACGACATCATGACGTTCATAACGCATCACGTCTCATGCAGTTTACCATGCTTCACCCATGAACGCAAACTTAGACCTTCTGCAGCTTTGTACGAAATCCCTCCAACCTCCAGGCTGCACATGTCGCCTTGCCAGAGGAAAAGCTTCGAGTTGATGTCCGGCTCCACTGCAAAAGGGCCTCTGCCGGGAAAAAACGAGCGAAGGGCTGAGTCGTAAGGATGCCGACTCTTGATATGGCAAGACTTCCCCAGGGCACCTGCTTAAACACCACAAACATTACAATCCTTATAGTATGAGCCCGAAAAATATTTAGTTATGGTCGGAAACCCCGATATCCCCGCTATGACATAAAAGACTTGACCGAGCATCGGTGCCAGGTCGGCGTGTCATCGAGACCCCAGGCACCCCAGGATGTCAGCGCAGCAAGGGGTGTGGCTATGGGGGCCGGTGGCACCAGGTCAGAGGGGCCCGGCAGCTCATCCTCTTCCCCTGCAGCCAAGGAAACAGTTTAAAGTATGGTAGACTGGCAGATGCAGAGTGATCTACAGATGCTGGGCCTCTCTACATCCATGTATGTGCCGGGGCCACATGCATGCAGGATCCTGAGGCCCCATGCCGAGGCCTGCCATCCAAGATATGGGATCAGACTCGGCGGTCGCTTGGACTACAGCATTGGCCTGGCGACAGCAAGTTCTGTTGGTCGCAGGCCGTACCCGACGAGAGCCGATCGCTACAGTACACTGCTGTCTCTGGCCTGGCGCGCCAGCTCGTCGGCTGCTGCACCAATTGCCAGCGTCGACTGCCGCACCACCGCGCTCGCCGCACTGGCAACGGAGTCCATGGCGCGTGCTGACAGTGATGCTAAGGTAAAGTGTGAGGTGTGACTTTGGGCTGGGGTGCACAAGACATGCTGACATCTAACGGCGAGCTGCCTTATGCGCCAGCTGGGCCGGTTTTTAATCTGCCGACGAGATCGCATGAAGCCATCCACTTATGCTGGTAGATTGGGTGGCATAGCGGCGGCAAGGTCGGCAAGCTTGCAAGATCAGCTTTGGCTTGGATGTGCGAACTGGCAGTTTTGGCATGTTTGAGCCAGATTGCTCCACTTGGTGGCAGGACGCCAAACAAGTCTGCAATGAATGAAAGCGGCACTCCTGCAACCCAGGAGGTTCAGCCGCACCGCGCAGGTGTGCATAGCACTGCCAAGACACCGCCAGCACAGACAAGGAGAACCAACATTTGCGGCCGAAGCTCTGAGATGCCATATAATACGTCGTCCATAAGTCGAGGCCAACATTTACGACCTGAGATGTATGCTTCTTTGCAACACGAAGTTACGCAGCCAACGGCGCGATTACTATTATAATCAGCCCAGGTGGCAATTGCCAGCAAGTAGAGGACCATGTAGCAATTCTCTCTTGTCTCCTTGTATTCCTGGCAGCACCCGCCCGCTCAACCACCGCACTGGAGCGAACAAAAATGATCTTACTGGATCGCGACCACTTCGCTAGTTGAATCAGCTTGGTGTCTCCCAGGACCTACGAAGAACATTCAGGATACTGTAAGGAACCACTTTCGTCGAACCAGTGTACATTGAGCCAAAGCTTGCAAGTATGTCCAAGAATCAAAGCCAATAGTGTCTGCCACACGGCTGCACATCTCAGCCATCATGAGGTTGCCCACACAAACAATCAGCGAGAAGGCGATTGTGTACACCTGACGCATCTTATTTCAAGGGTGAAGGATCAAAAAAAAATAAATAAGCATCAAAAAAAAATAACCCCAAGGGATCAAAAAAAAATAAATAAGCATCAAAAAAAAATAACTTGGAGCGGGGGGGGGGGGGGTTTGGGGGGGGTTGGGGGGGGTTGGGGGGGGGTTGGGGGGTTGGGGGGGTTGGGGGGGGTTGGGGGGTGGGGGGGTTGGGGGTTGGGGGGGGTTTTGGGGGGTTGGGTGGGGGGGGGGTGGGGGGGGGGGGTGGGGGGGGTGGTGGTGGGGGGGGGGGGGGGCTGCGCAGCCCCCCCCCCCCCATTTGCAAACACAATGCTCGCACGATGGGTAGTAGTGGGTGGTGGTAGTGGTTGGAAAACCTTCTATTTTCTCGATCTTTTAATAGGAAAACCTCTATTTCTTCGTATTCCCACAGAAACCTCTATTTTCTTCACGTTTTCATAGGAAACCTCTATCATCTCTATGTTTCCATCGGAAAACCTCTATTTGCATGTATTTTAAGACAAACTTAAACTTTTTAGTATCCCAATGGCTTCAACAAGATTCATAAAGCACGCTTTGCAGTGGCACAGCTTGATAAAAACGCGGCGGGGTTGGGGTTGGCGCAGCCCCCCCCCCCACCCCCCCCCCACTTGGCTTTGCAGCACGCTTTGCACAGCTTAAAAAAAACAGCGGGGGGGGTTGGGGGGGGCGCAGCCCCCACATGCGTAGAAGTGGTGGTAGTGGTTGGAAAACCTTCTAGTTTCTCGATCTTTCAATGGGAAAACCTCTATTTCTTCATACTCCCACAAGAAAACGTCTACTGTCTTCACGTTTTCATGAGAAATCCTCTATTATCTCTATGTTTCCATCGGAAAAACTCTACTTCTACATGTTTTAAGCAAAAAACTTCCATTTTCTTTGCATTCCAATGGCTTCAAAGAACAATATATAATACATACTACATAATATATAAAATATACTATATAATGAATAATAAATAATAAATTAATTAATAATAAATAATATTATATATTTTATATATTGTATATTATGTATACAGTATATATTATATATTATATACTTTATATTATGCATTATATGCAGTATATAATATGCAATATACAATACATGATATGCAATATATGACATATAATATACAATATGCGATATATAAATATATATTTATTTATTTATTTATGTTTATTTATTTATTCATATTTATATTTACTTATTTATATACATACACATATCATATAATGTACGACAACATGAAATATAAATATAAATAGAAATATAAATATAAATAATAATAATATATATAATCCCTATATATGTTAAACTATATATATATAATCTCAGGGTAAATATATATATACACATGATATAACTGATAATCTAAATATAATATATATATGCTATTTAGTAGAATAACAGATATATATAATATATAATATATATATATAATGTAATATATAGAATTATAACAATATATATATGTAAATATGTAAATATACTAAACTATACGAATCTAACATATATATATATAATATTAATTATAATAATATTATTATATATATGATATAGGATAGATGAAATAGAATATGAATAACAAATACATAGTACATACGACATAATAAATATATGATACATAATACATAATACATAACACATAATACATAATACAGAATACATAATATAAAACATATAATATATAAATTCATACATAGTACATAAAACATAAAACATAATATAGAATTCATAATACATAATTAATACATAATACATAATACATAATACAGAATATATACATAATACATAATACATAATACATAATACATAATAATATATAATATATAATATATATATATATAATATATAATGTATAACGTACAATGTATAATGTATAGTATATAATAGGTAATGTGTAATGTAATGTGTATTATGTAATATGTATATATATATATATATATGCGCATACATACATACATATATATACACACACGTTGACCTTCACTATCGTGTGTATATAATATATATTTATATTTATTGATTTTTACTTATTTGTCTAATTTATTCATTTATTTATACGCATAGGACCCGCAGGACCAGGCGGACAGACAAGCAGACCAGAGGACCAGAGGACCAGGGGACCACAAGACCAGGGGACCACGGGACCAGAGGACCACGGGACCAGAGGACCACGGGACCAGAGGACCACGGGACCAGAGGACCACGGGACCAGAGGACCACGGGACCAGAGGACCACGGGACCAGAAGACCACGGGACCAGAGGACCACGGGACCAGAGGACCACGCAGGTGGGCCGGATGGCTTATTTTTTTTTTTTGATGCCTATTATTTTTTTATTGATCCCTATTATTTTTCTTTTTGATGCTTATTATTTTTTTTTTGATGCCTATGCCTTATTTCAAGAAGTCCCTGTGTTGAGCCAACTGACGTGTCAAATCTGCAGCCATGCGTCCATGCCAGGCTGCTGGCCACCCTCGTAGTTAAACTTCAGGATAGACCAAGCCTCAAGTCAGCACATGTCTTCAAGGCACAAATTTTGCATGAACACATAAGCACATAGTGTTTATTTAGCAGAGGAGCATATGGAGCATAGAACACTCCGAGGTACAGTGCCAGGCCCAAAAGCACCATGACGATGCCCCTTCCCAGCCTTCGCTTTCGGCAGTTGTTGCTGAGATGGTTAATTACTTGGCAACTAACCTTCCTTCATCAGAAAAGGTAACCTGTGCCTCGCCCTTCGCTCAAGTGAACAAAAGAACTCTCCTAACATCTCCTAGGGGACAACTTTGCAACAATCAGTTGCCTGGTGAGGTATGACGGTAGAAGCAAATCATGCAAGTTCCACATGAGGCGTTGGGTGGGGAATAGCTTGGGTCATGGCCGCTCCAGCTTGCCAGTGAAGCCGCTGGTATTCATGTTCTTCCAATTCACCTGGGCCAGCATGACCACAGACAATTAAGCGCGAGAATACCTCGTAGCCTCCGCATCAAAGCAACAGTTCACTACAGGGTAGGACCATAGAACTGCACAGCAAAAAGGGCCCCGCGACTACTAGAGCCAAATCATCACAAGAGAGGCAGGCTTAAAGTTTGCAACCCCGTGGGGCACTGAGGGAAAATATTCCCGATGAGTTTTAAGTGCTTGCGACGCTGCATGCATGTCTGCTGTGGGCGCATGTTGGTAAACGTAGGTGAGATCGTCAGATCTCTCATTGCGATCTGCCGCTTCTCTGGGAGCCCAACGCCATGAGGCTCACGGATGGTGGCGGAGACATCGATCCAGGCATCCCGAAAGCACAGGCCCGAGGACAAAGCCCGAACCGCCTGGAAGCAGCTCCGGGCACACATGTATTCTTGAATAGATAGAGGCTCTTGGATTGTTTTCGATTCTTGCGGCATCCGCATGCAGCAACAGCCTCATTTTCGTGCTGGCCTCGTAGTAACATGCCCTGGTGTTTTGGGGGGTTTGCTTGCAGTGCGTAGATGCCGCATGCTCAAACCTGACAATACGTATGTCCTGCTTGATCAGGGACGATGCTCTCTTAAAGCTTTGACTGGTGCTGACGGCGGCGGCATTCTAGTGATTCTGGTGGTAGATATCCGCCACCTCATCACGGGCGCGCTCTGTCTCGAAGACAGCAAAGGCCGTGGAACAACACCTGTCAGACTTCAGCAGCTGTTCAGCAGCTATGTCAAGAAATGCAATCTCGTTTGCCACTGCGCCTCAGAGATGTCAGGACATCATGGAGATCCTCAGCGGCCCAGAAGAAACGGCTTCATGCTGCTGCAAGGATGCTTTCACCGGCATCAGGGCGAGATGCAACAAGGACTATATAAGGCGACTGCCTCTTCTGACAGCTCTTGGTCACCGTCCTGCTCTTTATTATTTAATCAAGGCGGGTTTCGAGTATTGCTCCCGCTAGGCGAAATAGTTTCAGTTTGGTATTCGGCGAGGGGCAGTGATTGTCTCACAGTCGGAATTTCCGACGTCATTTCTGAAAGTGGACTGTATTGCACCGGATGCTACTCCAGCATTTTGCCGTTCCTGATGAGGCGGGGCGACTTTCAAAAGTCCGTGTCATGCTTGGATCACACACAGCCAAGAACAATTTTATCGATTCGGGACACGGCGCTTGCCGCTGCAACAGGCGCATCTCGGTTCAGTTGCATGGAGCCTTGCCCGAATACGACCGCAACGTGTTTTTTTCATGATGTCCTCACGACACGTGGGCACTCGATGCGTCTCGTGATCTTGCTTGTGGAGATCACAGAGGGGCCATCCATCGCAGCACGCAACGAAGAGTTTGATCCACTCCCAAGCCCTTTCTTTCGAACACTTTTATTGGCCTCCGCCTGACGGCCTGAAGGCTAGTTGCTCTCTAATTTCTTTTTCACTTCTGTGAATAATTCACGATTTCTCACTGAGCCGGCTCCAGCATCGAAAAGCCACACCCTGACTCCCTTGACTCGGTGTGAGTGATGGAATTTCGTTTCGGAGGCCATGCGGGCCGTGCAGCGGTGCAGCCTTGCCGAGGGGAGGCTTGTTGGCGGGAGAGGTCACGGTCGCGATCCGACATTCATGCAGGCCCCTTGTCCTTCGAGCTAGTACGACCTAGATGGTTTTGATTCCGCTGCAGAAAACCACATTTCGTTCAGACTGACTGCTTGAGCCCGCGTCGAAGATAAATGGTCTGTGAGAACAACTTCTGACAGACCACACCGGCTATCCTGTTCTCTCATTCAAGCTGGACGACTGACTTGAACTGACGTGCAATTGGTCTGGCCGGCTACAAATCTTGCGGCTTTCCTCCGCAAGGATCATTTGCTCGATCCGAAATAAAGTCTTCTGGAACGAGCTCATGTCCTGCAATGGCCAGTAACGTGCTTCAGCACTATAAGACGTCGACACCAACATGAGCCGTAAACTTCTGTGTCCGTCCTGCGGCGAACTCCCTGCTTGGCTTCTTCTGGCGGAACCTCTCTCATGCACATATATCTTTTGCAGCATTCTTCGAGGTTCTATAGGCCCCAAACCCCTTAGCCTTAGTCATAGAGTCTATAGAGGTTTGGAGATGTTTGGACCTCTTGCATCCGGTCAACCCACAGCATGGTCAGAACAAGTCCAGCAGCAGGCTGCCTTGCCGATGCCGCCCATCTAAAGTTTTCTGGAGCTGTATGCGGACCGCATCCTGCGACTACACGCCGAGGTGCTGACATCATGGTGCTGAGTGTTAACACCGAAGACATTTCGGCTCGGTGCCTGGTGTTCGCAGTAGTCCCAGCAAACAGAAACGTCCACCACCGTGTGTCCAGTTGCGAGCTGCAAGCTCTCCTGACCAAAAAAGCATCATGTCAGAAAGTGTCAAGGCACCTCGATTTCGTGCATGTCGGTACGCGCTTGCGTGGCGATGCTGCGCCGCAGGTACCGGGGTGAAATGGATTTGGACTCCTACAGAAAGGCAGCCATGCTTGCTGCAAGCGGCTCTCCTTGAGTTCCTCCTCAATGCGGACAGATCCTTCCAGCCAAGGAAGGCCAGACAGTCTGAGCGCATAGTCTTTCATGGTGTCCTCGGTGTGTTTATGCACCTCTTTTTTTGTGCAAGGATTGGGGAAAGAAGGCTGTCGACGACTCGAAGCTGCAGAGAGAGCACGAGAGACCAATCACTTGTAACTTGTAACACTTGTATAAGCAGACGGTACCTGATTTTGCACGTCGATGTCGAAGCTGAGACAAGCCGAATCACTCCTGAATCCATTGCTTCAATGCGGCATTGCGATCATCGAGAAGCTGCCAGAACTGTAGCTGGCGAGCAGAAAAGATGACACTGCCTGCAACGATCTGCGCACACACACACACACACCTTGATGGGAAACCCGTCAATTCATCTTGCACGTTTAAATCCGTTGGTTATGGAAGGTGGGGCCCGAAAGGCACTCAGCCACACGGCTTCAAGGCGCAGTCAAGGGGTTCAGCCAAAATGGATCCAAGAAACTAAGGTTCTGCAAAACCGTGCAAACAAATTGCTCCATGTAAACGTAAGCTTGCTCGGCTTAGCTTAGCAGGTGGGGTGGGGCGGAGGTGGGCAGGCCCCGACCTTGCAGACGAAAAAGGGGGATGTGTGGGGATGTGGGGGGGGGTGGGGTGGGCTTGGAAGGGATGCCGATGAATTCGCAGCAAGTCCTCTCGATAGCATGATGTTCTAAAAAGCGAGCTTGCCTGGCTGAAAAGCGAGGAGGGGTTTGGGGCGGGGGGGGGGGGGGGGGGATGCTGCATCCCCACCCCCCCACCCCCATTTGCAAAAACTATGCTCGTAGCTCGTAGCTCCGAAAGATGCAGAAAGTACTTGCAGCAAGTCCTCTCGACGGCGTGATGTTCTTGGGGGCGAAGCCCCAAGCCACTTGCAAAACAATGCTGATGCAGGGTCTCTGCAGCAAGTCCCTCGATGGCGCGGAGGCACAATGTTCTTAAACGCGACTTGCCAGGCTTCAACACAATTGGAAGGATGCAGGCCAAGTCCGTTCTGAAAGTACAGGTGCGCTTGCCTGGCTTGAGAAGGCGAGGTGGGGGGGGGGGGGGGGTTAGGATGAGGGGCGCAGGGACCAGCGGTGCATCCTCCCGCGTTTCCAAACGCAATGCTCACAGACGGCTTCGAGCCTCTCATAGGGTTTCGTCGAGTATGTGCAGCATTTGCTTACGCTGGCCCGGCTTGAAGAGGGGGGTGTTACTGTTGCGGGCCTTCCTTTGGTCCTTCCGGTGAATCCCTCCCTCCCTCCTTCCATCTGTACCTTACGAAGTTGATGCGGAAAAGTCCCTTTGATCCAGCAAAATTTTGTTTGGTCCTGAAGAAATTTTTCCCGAACGCGTAGCAGAAGAGTTCCCATTGTAAAGGTTGGGGTTCCCAGGGTGTGCAGGAGGTGATCAAAGCCCACGAAGCGTTTGTGAAGCGCCTGCAAGCGTCCACAAATCGTCCGCGTCGCGCATTAGCGCCATCCTCGCATCTGACGTCACGTTGTGCTTTTCGCGCGTACGGGGAGGCACCGGGGGTGCGGGATCTTCGTAACTGTCGTCACTTTTGGAGTTTGGTTGCGCATTCGCGCCATTGACCCCAGATGCAGATCCGGGGGCATGCGATCCTTGAGACGCTCCTCCATATCAGTGTCCGCAATGGCAAGCAGAACATCCATGCGCAAACTCGTTTCAGTCAGGAGATTGCATTGAAATGATGATCATGATTGTAAAGAGAGGAGAGAGGACAGAGGATGACGGACAGCCATAACAAGAGGAAGAAGAGCACAAAGAAACAAATGGAGATGATAGATGAGAAAGTAAAGAGGAAGACAGATATGTCTTCAGACACAGTAGCTCGGAGGTGCGCTTGCGTGTGTTATGTTCGCGGTTTACGTATGCATCCCGCCTAGAACGGAAAAGACGTAGACGAAGCCCAGAAACCACGTCTTGACCCACATGAGCCTGAGCGGCCACGGCTGACCAGTGGTTGGAATGCAAGAGCAGATGAACAAAACTAGACCCTATGATTTCCGGGCAGCAATGTTCGAACTTGGTCAGGGTCATGATAAGGATTGCAAAGCTCATTCTGCATCTACATGCCTATGTCTCCAATCAGCTTCCTCTGCCGAATGTTCCTTCATTCAAGGCCTCCTGGCTAGCTCTTACATTGTATTGATGCTGTAACTTTCAAGTGCCAGATTCTTTTGGGCGTATCCCTCACAAATGTCATCTACACCCCGGCCCTAGGTCCTGCTGTCACACTACAGAGCTGTGAGCAACACACCAGGTGGGATTTGCTTTAGGCAACACCCTCATGACGTACATTCCGAGCCTTATTCATGCTGCTTGGGTGCATTGCCACCAATCCTTCGTGATGTAGCAGTACGAGACTTACGTCGGTGGTCTATGCAGGCAGATTGCATCCCATTAGAAACCAGCCTCCGTTGTGTAGCGCGGCCCCATGCAACCAGTATGCAGTTTCGGAATGCCTCAGGTGTTGTGCAACACTGGCGCGCACCCACATCCATGCCACTGTCATTATGTATCCGGGATGACACCAACCAAGCACACCCCACTTTTTCTGCTTGACCATCTGAAGTGCCTCGGAAGCAAGATCTGGCAAAGTACAGTAGATCATTAGATATTTCGCACAGGCTCAAGAGAGCCGTACGCCTGAGACTTCGTCTTCTGCTCAGGATCCAATAGTACATCGGGTTCATGCTCGTCGTCTGTCGCGAAGAGCGACAGCAGTGATGTACTGCTGGGCTTGTCATCGGGATGACAACTTCCTGCCACTGCAGGCAGACATCGGGCGCTGATGAACAATAGCAGCCCAGCTGATAGCTGCACCACCAGCGGCAAGTGTAGGGATGCTTTGAGCGAGTGTGTTTTGTCAGAGAGCTTTCCAGTGAGCACTGGGGACATGGCAGTGGCAAAGCCCGTACAAAGAGTCTGAGTCGAGACCGCCAAACTGATCTGCGAGGAAGGAAAAATCTTTGCGACAAGCACTGTCAAGCAGACATTGCTCAAGGTAAACGAGGACATGTAAGCAGCTGCCAAGACAACAATGACGACGGCGCTGTGGATCCGAAGATCCAAACATATCACGCATGCCCAACTCGATGCCACAATCCCCAGGGCAGGTGCCAATAGCTCAACGTTCTTGGTGTAGCTATCAAATGCCTTTGTGGCTTTGGCGCCGATGCTGCTGCCAAGGAAGGCGCCCAGCATGGCTGCACATGCGCATTCAAGGCCAGCTGCTTGGACATTTTGACCGTCGAACCGCTGCAAGAAGGTGGGGAACCAATCGGCTGCCGAGCTTTCGGCAAAAACGCTCATACTGCCAACTGCCGCGGCCGTCAAAAAATGCAGGTTGGAAAACATTGACCTGTATTTCGCCCAAAGCGAGGAAGTCTCCTCGTCCACAACGCTATCCACAGTATCGTTAACGCCCTGCTTGGGCTCTCTGATGAACTGCAGTGCCAAGCCAGCAATGAGGCAGGGCACTCCGACAGCAAGCACTGCTAGTCGCCAGCCAGCTGCCTCCGCGATCACCGCCGCCATTGCATAGCTAAACGCTCCGCCCAGCAAAAAACTCAGTTGGTAGAACGCGATGACGTAACTTCGATCTTGAGTCGGGTAGTAATCCACCAGCACAGACGGGAAAGTAATGATGGCGATAGAGTATCCTCCTCCAACAAAGACCCGAAGCAAGCACAGATGTCCAATGCTTGGCACGCTGGCTATCAAGCAGGTTGCAACGGATACCACTGCAGACGATATGGTTAGAATCAGCCGCCGATTGAGACCTTTTCGGCTCAGGAAAAGGCTGGATAAGGCTGCAGCTACTAGTGAGGAGACTTGTGTGGCGGACACTGGCAGAGCTGTTTGTGCGTCCGTGCACCGAAGCTCGGCCTGGATCTGGGCTTTCAGCGGACTGAGCACATTCAGAGATGCCGAGAGCAAGGAACCTGCGAAGAGAATCGATAGCAACGCTCGCCTTGCACCAGCCTGGCGATACCCAACGACCCTCTGTTCCATTGGGAATTGGGGGGGGGGGGGGTGATCTAGAAAGGTTCGGTGAACGAAAGAACTTGCAGCCACATGGCTGCTGGAAGGGCGTCGCAATAGATGATCTCATGCACGACTCATGCATGCCACTAGGCATTAGTATTGCAGCATGCCACTTTGACTACCTTGCCGTAAGCCTGACCTGCTGGAGATGAACATCGTCAATCTCCTGATTAGCGGTCATGCTACTTGCGACTTCCATTTTGCGGACATGATGCTGTCCCAAACTTTTTAGTACCAAGGACCAGCAAGTCATAGTCCACGAAAAGCGCCAGGAGCATCCAGCCTATGCTCAAGCCAGTCACTGAGCGCGCCAGCACGCAACAATATCTTGTTGGGAACGCTGGCTCACATTGAGCAGAACACTTGCAGCAACTACAGCTGCCCAGGCGATGATCGCCGCCTGCACCCAGACACACAGGGCGGACTGGCTTGGGTTCAGGTTCGGTCGTCTCCGCTTCTCTTATTTCGCCCATTTTCTCCTGCTCCCTGTTGAGGCTTCAACTCTCGCACTTGCGACTCCAGCGGCCCATTCCCGTTTTGATTTCGGGCTTTTCAATTCCCTTATGCTACCTCACTCACAGGGCAGTTTTCTTTGCGTGCTCACATCTCGGACAATCCAGATAAAGGGTTCAGGTCACTAGACCCAGGAGCCATGCGTACTCCTCGGATACACATGCTGCCCGTGGTTCTGCCAGCACGTTGCCTGGAAGCGGAAGTGCAGCGCCAGGCCAGGGCCACCCACGATGCGAGTGCAAAGATTCGTAGACAGAGGGTAGAGGCGGCCTCAAGGGATGCATCAAAGGACTTAAGACACCAAGTATAGATCTTCGGTTAGCAGCCACCCGATGAATCTGTCTGTCCGGAAGGGCTCTTGCCGGTGTTCCTATGTTTTGTCACGGAGGTGGACTTCACAACTGAACGAATTACCTGAATTCATGAATGAAAGGACATCTCGTCAGTAAGCTCCCCATCCTTTCTGAACATTTCTGAATATTTAATTCATCCTAAGCCTTTGTATAATTCACACGCTTAGATTGTTCAAGTAGTGGAATCAAGTTGGCTGAGCTCCTTACGCTTTGGGTTGCAACCCAAATAACCTCTTGAAAACAAACTCCAGAGTATTGATCCGCCGCATTCGTTCAAATTCAGGAAACCAGACCTGGCAATCTTCCATCGGCTTCAAAAACCAACTAAACGGCGTAAACCGATGTGCTTAACCCATCAACTTGCCTCTGGCTCCGTGCACGATTAGCATGCTTTGTTTTAGTGGACACCACTTCGCTGACTTGCCTGGCATTTCAGAGCAATTTAACAAACTCAGAGTTGCTGAGCTTCTTCTACTTCAACGTGATTCTCAGGCCCCCTACCGCTATGGGGCTCTCAGATTAATGGCTTGGATCCTGGAAGATCTGGTATCCTGGATCGCCTGTCATCTGCTTGGATCCTTTTGGAAAAACTAAGCACTTTGGCAAAGCCAGCCGTTTTGAGTCTTTTCTCTCTGAGCACTGTAAACGCAGGCTCGTTGGGTGTTACCACTTCAAAATAGTTTAACGTTTGCACATGCACACACACAATCATATGCATGCACGCAGGTTGTCGCCGAAGACCAAGCAAGCCAAGCGACGACCCGTTCCATCAAGCTTCGGTGTCCGAAACTTCTGCTTGGAGCGGTATTCCAGGGCATCCTCCACCAAAACAAAAAGGGATGCAAAAGGCGCCATGGCTAAGCGATAGTGATAGGGTGAACTTAGTGTACTTGTGAGACTTGTGGGCCAGAGGGTGGTCAAGTTCGGCAGCCGCAGTCGCAGTCCTCGAGCCCATCAGCGTTTGTCACTGGACGCCGGAGCAAGTCGACCAAGATCCTTCGGGACGCCAAAGAGTCAAAAAGGGCCCTCAAACACCGCAGGGAATCTCTGCTGAGATTTGCCACGCGATTGCCACGTGCAGGCACGCACACAGCTCGTATCGGCTTCCAAGCGTCACAAGAATCAGAATGACCACGGCCTTTGTGAGCGTTCAGGGCCAATGGCAGAATCGTCACGTTCAGCACGCAACGTATGCAACCCTGCAAGTCTGGTCCGAGGTGCCACGAGCACCGCCGCGATCACATATAGGGCCCAAGCATACTTGCGAGCACATTTCCTGCACATCAGCACCATGTCATGCGATAACCTTGCAACATCTTGTAGCCAAAAAAGAGATGTGTCTCTGGTTACCCTCAAGGGCGCCAAGCCGCCGGTCTCGGGTAAGATAGAAGAAGCTTCCGCACTCCACGCACGCGTCCTGAGTGTACCAAAATACGACGGGGTTGTCCACTTGATTTCACTTGAGTCACTTGCAGATTCTCCTGGACACCTGGTGCGATGGTAATGCCGTAATGCCTGCTGACCTCACCAAGTGTGACGAAAACTGCCGAGCCAGGTTGCAGTGCCATCTTGACTCGGCACCTCACTCAGGACAGGCGAGAGGCTAGCGGCTCCAGTTGACTTCGCTACGGCAAGCGGGGACACTCGCATGCGGACGCACAGTAAACCAGAAGCATGCATTCCGCGCCTCGCACCCGTCAACTACTGCTCCACGGCATGAGCCAATATCGGAATCCCCAACGGGTGCCTGGCAAAAGGTACCACATAGCTCCCTCTTCCAACTGTTCGTTGAACAGCTGACTCTGGACATGAACCCCCTTACAAACTCCTGCACTGCCTGACTCGAACGGCCCCACAAAGCGATCTCGCTCGAACCCGGTTTGAGTCTTTGTCAGCTCCAAGCCCTCACTAGCTCGCTCTGCGCGGCAGCCCCCGCCCCTGCCTTTGGATTGTATTTTTTGCAGGAACCCTTGGGCACACACATGGAATGGCAAAAGTCCTGCAGCAATGCTCGAGACCAAGGCAGAACGCCTTTACTATAAATCTTTAGGTGCAAAAACCCTCCCGCCCTCGCAGTGACAGGAGTGCGCTCCCTCAGAGGGTCCCGTGTTCTAACGACTTCTTTCAGAGGAGCCATCCCGAGTCCTTCATCAATTCGCTGCTAGGGTCGACATGCATTGGGCAGCTAGAGGGGCATCTGGCATCCAAGGCGAAGGAGGCCTGGCATCCGAGCACGCTTCGTATCGCTTCATGAAAAGACGGGAAGACAAACTGGATGCTACAAAGAGGCCGAGTCTCGTCCGCTACTAAGGCATCAAAGGCACATTGAGTTTCATCAGCTCGCCGCAGGGCAAGTGAGTGATACTGCCTCGAAAAGACGGTGGAGGTGCAGTGGTGGAGAAAACCACCCACACACACACACACACACACGCGCGCGCGCGCACACACACGTGCACATGCGCCCCCGCGCACGCGCTCACCCACACCCTCGCGAACGGGCACCCCCGCACCCCCCTACCCCCGTACCCGCACGAGCTCGCACAATAACACGAGCGCACTCGCAACAAATCAGATTCCTCTCCTGCCCCGCCTTCAGGTGCGAGGTTGCTGGCGTTCCTGTGGGGGGCCACCGAAAACATTCTCGGCGTTCGAAACTGCGCTTCTCGCAACTCACAACAGCAATTACACACCTAAGACGCTGAAACTCCACTTCCCTGCCGACGGGCCGCCGGTGTCTTCCACTGGGGTGTTTCTCCAGCTCCAACATGTCATGCGGCCCCTTCAAGGCCTGGGAGTCGGAATTGACAGCCCTAAGAACTATAATGATAATGAGAATCAGAATTCTTCCATACTAATCATGGTTAAATACTGGACTAGTAATACCAATAATTGTTCTCTTCCTGCCTGCAGTCAGCTCCCCTCGCTATCGCTGTCTGGTTCTACATGGGTTCTACTGCACCCTATCCATCAACCTGAGGTCGACCAACGCCCGGCACAAGTCCTGAAAATCTCGATTTCAGGTTTGGTGCTGACTCCAGGAGCTCCCCAACTCTGTTCAGCCTGAGCACACATGAGGCACGGCCAGCGATCTGTCTTTGTAGCGGGTGTTTACGGTTCTGTGCTCCGGCAATCCCAAGACAGATGCGGCCTCCTGGCACGCTGTGGGGCGCAGAAGAACAGAAAGATCGCGTCCCAGCCAAGGCACACACTGCGCTGCAACAACACGCCGCCTTGCGCCACAAATGATTTCCAGCCTCGATGTCCCCAATCCATGAGCACAAGTGTATTTGGAGCACTTTTGTGTGATCTAGGTGCAGCTGAAGAGCTCTCACCGCTGGTTTCTGCCACGCAGACGTCCTCTTTCGGGGTTGTTTCTGCCAGTGCCTGATTCTCCATACTTCGCCGTACATGAGCTGCATCGGAAACAATCTCTTACACTGCTTCCTGCCGCAATATGACACTACAGATGCCGCCGCGACCTCCAGAACTACCACTCCGACACCATGTGCCCAGCATGTCGGCGCACAAAACTAGTATGCCAGCATTCCTGGACCAGTTGACAGAACACCGAATGCCCTGCACCGAGGTGCCAAAGCAGAAAGAACAACTAGTATCCTCATGTCTGGCATGAAGGAGCGGTTGAAGTCCTTGGATGGAAGGCGCAAATGGAACCATCATCCACCTCCCATGGCACTTGAAGCAGCCTTTCAAACGCTCAAATCTGATAGCCATGCTGCCCGGCGCCCATTGAGCGCGGCAGGAAGAAGCCTTCGCGTTGAGCTCACTGTTGGCCATTAACATGCCAAAGCTTTGAGCACTGACACATCACAAGACTCACAATAAATACTCCATAATACTCCCCTTCGGCCTTGTAAGGTTGTTTTGCCAAAGTGGGGACCACAGAGGCACCCTGTTGAGCCCAAATTGGCCGCTTGTGGGTGCAGCAGCGTCAGGATCGTCTGCTTGCTGCTTCTCATGCTTCAGGTTTAGGGCCAGATTAGGGCTTGGAATTTAGGGTAACTTGGGGGGTGCTGCAGTCTGAAGATACCCTCTGGCACATCTTCGCTAGGCCCGGTCAGCAAGTGTAAAATGTGAATCCATCAATGCTCCATAAAGCGCAGGCGTTCTCACAAAGAAAGGGCGATTTTCCCCATGCCTTGTGATGACATGCAAGGACGCTCGGCATATTCCGTCATCTGATGGTTGCCCTCTTGTTGAACTGTTGAACCCAGAATACGAGTACATGCAAAATATTCTGCGAAGATGTTCATTGCTTGCACCATTCTGTGCAGGGCGGGAATTTTCCAGACATGCCTGTCGGATCGCTTCATACATGGTGGGTAATTTTGGTTCAAAACTTCCCAGCTCACTTCGGATTTCGAAGCACAAGAATGACCTCATGGCACGAACGCATTGCCGCTGATACCGAGGGGCTGTGCGGCAACCAGTCAGGCGTCACTTCTGGCCCCGGAGCCAAAGCAGGAAACTACTGGAGCAGGATGGTAGTATATGATGCTCACATGATGCTGGCTGCATAGCCTGTGCTGATCACCACCGCGATTGCACACTATTGTACCAACTTGCGCAATTCCAGTCTCAGGCCGAGTGTCCGAATCGCCACGCAGAAACATCTTGCTAATGAAGCCTGGGTAGCAGTGGTCGTGCAGGAAGCTGGAGATAGTGAGGCATAACAAGCAAGGGCTTCAACGGTCCAACGGTGATCAATGGTGGGGCTTTGTTCACTTCCTGATCTCCTGATCTGCATCTTTGCCAGCAAGGCACGATCTTTGTTGACCGGCTTGGCCTTCTTCTTGCCCCCATGCCTTGCTTGGAAACACATGCTGCAGACACAAAGACATGACACTAAAACAAACATACGTGCGTCAGAGCACACAGCGGGAACGGGGGGGTGTCAGTGCAAAAACTCACTGCCCTATCGCATGTCCATTGTCAGTCATCGACGATGCATGGGCATTGGAGCATGCCCATTTTCAACTCTTCTGTTGCAAGTGCAGGACTTTTGCTAGGCCCTGTATGGCCCTGTCCTCGTGATCGATACTCTCCATCCAACACCTCTGTACCAAAGTGATTCCCTTGAAACCTTTTGAAAGCTTCAGCAGCCCAAACTTAACCGGCGGTGCCGGGAACATAGTCTGAAGTTCGTTCATCTGCAGCTGAGCGACGGCGTCTCAGTCCACATCTCCCTGGCGCAAAAAGGCAGCCGCCCATTCTTCATCTGCTTTGTTGCATCACCGTCCCGAGTCCCGAGGACAGAAATCACAAGATCCCCTTCCCCCTGCCTCACATTCTCCAGGACCATGTTTGAGTGCCGGTCGAACGCCTTCACTCGGGCCAAAATCTTCCGATTGTTGCGGCAGTTGATGAGCACCTGAACTGCAATGCGCTGGGGTGCCTGCCGACAACTGTCAATCCCTGTCCTGGCTTAGGAGTCCCGACGCCGCTCAAACTTTCTCGCTCCCAGGCGCCTGCGAATTGTCCTTGACACACTTCTGCAAGACAGACCTGAGTCGCATGAATCGCATGAATTGATATGAATTGCATGTGGCCTCATTCTGAGTGAAGTACGCTGCAATCGTTTACAGAGACACTCCCACTGACTCCCACAAGCTGCCATGCCTCATGTGACACATGTGTGCATAGCTTTTTCGCTTCAGAGCCCATCGAAGAGATCCGCCATTTCAGCAGCTTCCTCGTTCAAGTCTTCGTTCACAATTTCAAGGCCCGTGTGGCAGTACCCTGCACAGTCCTCCACCTCGATGGCTACATCTTCCAGGGGCAAGAACTCCCGCAGAAGCCGCAGCGTGGCGGGGGCGATTCGGGACTCGACCGCCTGCCTGCAGTTAACCAAACCAAACTCATCTAAACCTGACAACATTCGTGGCTTCAAGGTTCCCAAAACTGTTGGACCCACAATATCTCTCACAATGATCCCAGCAGTTACAATTAAAGTAGCACGCGCGTGCAGGTCCGAACCCATGCAGGGGCCTGGACGTTCGTGAGAAAGGATTACAAAATGACTAAATCTTTGGTTAGTTTCCAGTTGACAAAGAAAAGTGTTGCTGGTATGGGGCTGGTGCTGTTTACGCAAGCACCAGAAATCACAAGCATGTGGTAACTTCAAATGATAGATGGTGAACCTCCGACATAACACGCAGAGCCATGCTTGCTTAGTGCTTACGGACATCGGGCTAGGTTGGGCGCGATCGGTCCCAGTCCGGATGCCTTGTAAGCAGAGTTTGCATCGCAATCAGGAGTACTCTTAAGGTTGAGGTTGGTGCTCCTGTGCTCCCCAACCGAAGCACTGAATCAGCCAAGTTTGGCCGGAGGGAACCCGCGCAAGGCAACGTGCATGCCCCTTTCGAACCACAGGTACTACCAACCAGGCGCTATACATTTGAGACTCTTCTGGGCTTAACTTTCAGCACCACAATGTACCACAGCAGTTGCCACTTGCAGAAGAAACCCCCATATGAGATGACAACTTAAAAACAGAGGCGTCCGGGAGGTCCGGGGGGGCCTCTCTGCGCTGTGCAGGTCCAGGGCCGCCTCGAGCGCCTCGGAGGCCTCGAAGGCATCCCGCAAGGACTGCGCCAGGAGGTCGCTGTACCAAACCTGCCACGACTCGCTCCGTGCTCCCCCCCCCACGCTATATTGAAAACACACATCCAATATGCCGCAAAGTTATAAAAAGGAATTGGGGCCCCCATAAGCACCGTGCACAGGCATCTCTGCCTTGCAAAAGGCTCTAAGCTCAGGGGGCTGCTGTCGGAGTATGCGAACCACCTTGACAACTTGCTCGTCGTAGGACGCAGAGGCCCGCAGCGGGGCAGGAAAAGGGATCTGCGCCTCACCCTCGAACCACAGATTGATGCCTGGCAGCGTGCACGCTGATGGGGAATTCTGAGCTCATGAGACCATGTGCTGCAAAGATCTGGGTCGGCGGCAAACACGGCCAGCAGCTCCATGGAAGGGCCGCACACGATGCAGTGTCGTGCATGACGAAAAAGCAACAAGGCGTCTATCCAGCGGCGGCACGCACGAGTCCGCAAAAGGGAATGGGAATATTTCCACTTCCCCTCCATCACCCTCCGTCCAGTCCGGGTTGAGGTATAACAAAACGGTCAAAACCCGCCGCGCATCAGAGCTTGCAGGCAGGTCGAAGTGGCAGGGAAACGCCCCACCAGAGCCAGAGTTGACCTGCACCTTGGCCTGCTCGAGCCGATCAAGCTGCAACCTGGTTTTTGTTCCACTTGGTTCCACTGATATGGGTTATTTAGGGGTTGCCGTAGAAGCTACAAACAATTTCCAAATCAGCCCGGGTGACCAGGAGCTGGTCGCAAGGTTGAACATCTTGCGCAGCTGCATCTCCTACAGGGTTATTTGTCGAATGGGTTGAACTCTTGGCATAGCTGGGCACATTGGAGAGTGGGTGTCTAGCAAACTTGTTCTTTTCCGTGATGCTATTGCTTCTGTAGCCTTTTCGTGTAGCATTCTGTCAAACAAAACCTTTGCCTGGTAAAAGCACATTTTATCTCGAAAAAATCTTTTCGCCTAGAAAAATTACACAATTTACCTGGGGAAACTTAACATCAACAAACATCAGCATTGTTCTCTGAATATTTAATATCGTGCTGGGACATTCCACATAGAGATTTGCCCTATGCTGGCATATCGGCCTGTGAGGTGGGTGTCCCAATGGCTATCCTTCGCTACCCGGTGCTAACGAACCCTACACTGTCGGACATGAATTCAAGTCTTGATTATTATTCTGCTCCATGTGCGCATTCGTCTCCATCTTACCTTTTTCCAAACATGGCTTGAACAAAGGCATGTCGCTTGGGGGGGTTGCCAATATATATATATATATATACATATATATATGGTATATATATATACATGTATATGCCAAGCCTGTCCGAGTCCAGGCCTTGCGTGCAAGGCGTTGGGTTGGACTAAGCTTTTCAGCAAGTCTGCGGAAGTGAGTCTCACGTGCAGATGGACACGTGCGACATGATTTCCGCGCTGAAAAGTTTAAGGGTACGACAGGCTTCAAGGGCCGCGGCCGCTTGTTCAAGATTCAGCTCTCGCCATGAGTTCTCAAACCCGATCTCGGCGACTTGCTCCCTCCGTTCTTCTTTGGGCGTCCTGGGCCAGCAGCGCCGACAGCACCGGGCATTTCTCCAGCACCTCGGGGCACTGCACAAGGCCATCGACGATCACGTCAGCCTCGTAGACATGGGGCTTCCTGAGCTTTGACACAATAAGCTGGTCAGTGGCCGTGGTCTCTGCTAGGATGACGGTTGAGTCGGTTACATGTGTTGGGGGCGGGCAGGGGCGTGTCGGAACAGCCGGGTCGGGGAACGGGGCAGGCTGGTGCTGGAAACGCTGGAGGCCGAGCCGGGAATGCATCGAGCACGCGTGTTGGAAATGAGCCTCCCAAAACTGCAACTTCGACCTTAGACTCCTGAGGTCCTTTCCATGGGTTAGGGGGCATGTTAGGAGTGTAAAGAAGGAGCCCTTCGGACCCCTTTTTTTGCCACCCGTCTAGCCAAAGCTCCACGGGGCAACTACGGGGCAACTGCTGCTGGAGAATGCTTTAAGAATATTTTTGGGTTCAGGATTTCGGGCTTGGGGGTACCTCAGGGGTCTAAGGTCGAATTCCTGCAGAAAAGGCATGCGTACGTTGCAGTTGGGGAGGGCCCCCGGTCACCTCGCACCTCGGGCAGGGCGTGTTGCGAACACGCCCGCGCCCAACACAACCCTGCGCAACCAACACGACTAACATCCGTCTCTGCTACGATAAAGTGCAAACAAACAAATTACTGGTGAGAGGACGTGCGAGTACATGCAGGCAAATACAGAGGCAGACCATAGCAAGCCCAGAGCCGCGAAACACCCAGACGGTTGCACCCTTCAGCTAATTCCACATGATATCTGGCAGATAGACGACCGACAAGCAGACAGGATGCATTCCTCAATGTATGTTTCCTTGCACTGGCGGCCTCTCAAGGTCTGATGGCTTTAAGCTATGCACGCCTCCATCATTGCATGTCGCTTCCTGAGACGAGTCGAGCTGCTTCTGCACTATGCCCCCGCGGTGGCCATCAGAAGTTCCTCACAGAAGCTCATCACTGGACAAGAAGGGTTACTACTACCCGACTTGACTAGTGGCAGCTACTTGATTGGCAAACCCCTCTTGCTTAGAGATACCGCGCAAGGGCATGAATCTGCCCTCAAGTGCCAAAAAGCACGACCAATGAGAACCGAACCGTTTTCCCTGCCCCATACTTTTGAGACCCTTGCAGGTTTCCAGCAACTGTTTGGTTAAGCTTAGGATGCAAGTTACGAAAACCGTTGAACTGTCGAAGGAAAGCCGGCACCGAAACATGGAAGCCCTTCCATCATCAAATATCGAAGAAGCAGGGATTTGGTGTAAAATGAGCCAGTTCCTTCCCATTGCATAAACAGGCACTGCATAAGCGTGCACTGGAGACTGCCAAGCTTCTGACGGCCAGCTTGTTTCCGCTTTGTGTTAGCAAGCCTTGCTCGAAGCAGTCCTAGCGCCATGGGAGCCGAATCACACACACCAAAGGCCCTAAACGCCTAAATGTGGTTTGTGGTAGCTGGTAGGCTCGTAGGGCGAAAATGAGAGCAAGATCCCGCCATATCCCGCAGCAACGCCAAGAACCTTCTCAAAACTTGTCAAAACACAAAGGCTCCAAGATCTCTCGGCGCACGTCCGCTGCAGTCTCTGCCGCCCTTGACGGTTTTACTTCTTAAGACTCTTCAACTCTTCCTTTTAGTTTCCATCGACTTGCGCTGCAGGGTGTTATAGCTCATTGCGTGTACTGGCCTATTGGATTTTAAATCCAAGCCGAAGCCCAAGGCTGCAGAGCCCAGGCACACCGCGTCATCACGCATCCACGTGCCACGCTCTTCCAACGCTGCAGCCGCTGCGCAGCCAACATGTGCCCACATATCTGACATGTCCTACCGGTCGTATCGGTTCTATCTGAAGGGCCCTCACCATCTGCAAGGGCCTCGCATATTGTGCAGTGTTTGTGGCAAGCTCTCATCCTTCTTGGTTCTAACTCATCACCCAATTCCAAGCACCTCCAGAAGCTGCAGTGTATATGGCAAGTCTGTAGAGCTCGCAGGGAGAGGTTTGAGCTGTGAGGTTTGAGCTGTGGCTGATGGCTCGATTCTGATGCACCAGTTGGAAAGAAGGGGAGCTCAGCAAACGTCTCTCCGACTCGAAAGCTGCAACTCACTTCTCTTTTTGTTCCACCGGTCAGGCCTGCAGAACATCTCTTTGCAGGGTCATACAGTCATACAGAAATACGTATATAAGATATACTATGTGGTTTCCCCTATGCCGGCTCCCGGCTCATCTTGGCTCATCTGGCTCGCGGCATGGCGCCACTCAGTTCCGCACCCGCGTTCTGATTCGGTTGTCTGCAGGGTCCTCAGTGACTCCGTGCTCTGAAAGCTGAGGTGCAGATGCGAAAGGGCGTCCATGTCTTTGACCAAGCAAATTAAATTGAGATAACGTATTCACAGCAAACAACAAACAACAAAGAGAGAGAGAGAGGGGCGAGAGCGCCGGAGAGTGGATGAATGCACAAGGAGCTTGGAGAGCGAGAGACTGAAGTAAGCGAGTTAAGATGAAGAAAGAAAAGAGAGAGAGAGAGAGGGAGAGAGATGAACTGGTGAGATGAAAGGGTGCGTTGTGACTGCGTTTGCACAGCAAATGCCTGAGTGAGGCGAGCACGCGTGCAACTCCCTTGAACTATCTTGAACTGCTTCCCCCCCCCCCAATGGGTCACTTGGCGGTCCTTCAGCGACAGGTGACACACGCCGGCCTTGTCGCGGAGGGTGGGGATGGATGGTTCGGCTTCTGGATGCTTCTGGTCTATAAGAAGTGGCACCCGGGGCGTGCTACGGAGAGAAATTTGCAGGAACTATTTGCATGCTTCTTGCAGCTGAAAGGCAAGTAAGAGCTCCAGAATGGTGAGGAGGTTGTGCTGCCACTCCGGTGGCAAGCAATGGGTGACCCCACCAACTTGAACCAGGCCAATCAAGCCTTGCCGACCATGTATGGTGATTCACCGACATGAGCTCAAATCGACGTTGACTTGCCTTGCTAGGTTTGGAATGTGCGCCCTGCTCTGGGCCAAGTAGCACATGGTCATGCGAAGCAGGTCGCTGCTCATGCGGACCTTTTGTCAGCATGGAGTTCAACATCGGCCCTTGCTCGAAACTTTGTGCTTTCATGAAACCCCCGGCCTGCTCAAACTGGACCCTGTCGATGCTCCAGACCTTTTCCTCGATCACTGCCATGCCCCAGAAGGTATACATCATACATCCCAAGCTTCCTGCAATCCTGAGCTCGTGGTGGAGGAGTCGTGGATTGAGGTCTTTTTTCCACCTTAACCTCCAAGCCTAGCACAGCTGCATCCTTGCATCGCTAGCTCAAAGCGCACTATGCAATAGCCACATGTTGCGAAGCCTTCATGCCACAAGCAAGAAGTTAACATCCACAGGCGGGATAACCTTCTTCCCGTGGACATCTGGCAGTCGTCCTCTACCCTGCATGCCGCACGACAGGCGACGCTTTGAAAGTCCGAGCACTATTGGAGCTGAGGCACAGCCCTCCTTTGTATACAGGAGTCACAGCAATCACCGCCCCTGCTGCGAATAGGTTGAACATCGCCGCCGGCATCACGCCGTGGATTGCTATCTGGGCTATCTCGCCGGTCTCCTTTGTATCGACTTTCTGTGTTCTAAATAGTCAGTATGCGGATATGGAAGCCTGGAGCATTGCGCACACAGGCCCAGGCCCCTTGTTTGCAAACTAGGCTCAGATGCTTTGGAGAACGTCCCCAGGAATGCCCTCGGTTAGCTCGACACAGACAGCTGCAGCATGAAGGCACCAAACGGATCCGAGGGGCACGACCAAAGGCATGCTGACCGCATCCGACAGGTAGTGTACTGCAACCACCGCTGCACCAGCAGCCGGGGTCAAGTCCACGAGCTTCAGTGCCAGATCCTTGCTGCCAAAGCATTCCACCGAACAAGCTGCGGTTGGGTACTCTACCAGGACTCTACCAAACCTGGATCAGACTTGACAGCCCCTGTCTCGGCTCCGTTTTTTGCCACCTGCCTAGCTGACACTTTGGACGCGCTGCAGGGCACTGGGAAACCGTTACTCTGGTCGTGCGTTAAGTTCAACAGCAAAGCTTGCTTGCGCACTCCTCACGGCAACCGTCCTGCTGGTCTGTCAACAGAAAAGCACTCGCAAACCCTGACTGGGCTCATCCACAGGGTAGGTACTATGACCAACATATTCAAAAACTTTGGCAGTGGAGGGGCCCCAACAAAGCCAAAGGTGTCAAGGTTGAGCGCGATGACCTCACGCAGCGCGCCGCACCTCAGGCCAGGCTCATGGCGGCATCCAAGCTTAGCCAGAGCCCCCGCAACAAACTCCACTCATTAGAGCTCTTCAAGCCCTCTCAACCTAAACTGCCTCAGCTCAACCTCTCGCCAAATACAATTTCAGCAAGGCTCGCCATGGCGGCCGCAGCCAAGCGCATGGGCGTGCGCGGCTGCTTGTCAGGTAGACGCTTGGCAATACCTTGTTGACCGGCTGTCGGTAGGGTTGAAAGCTTGAGGAAATCATGAGGCAAAGGCTTGGAACAAGACCTTGCAACAGCCTCACTGTCACGATATCCGAAACCTCGACTCGGAGAGTTTGGTTGAGTTTGATTGCCGCCGGGTGGCTGTAGGAGAAAGCTACCATACCACCCGCAGCCATGCTGTGAAGCATCCTATGCATCAGGGGCTCCGATCACAAACAGTCGCTTTCGCTGGATGGCCAGCTCGTATACAGCCAAGATCAGCCAAGAAGCAAGGCACCGCCGGTGTAGGCCTGTGGAAACATGAAGAGACCCTGCCGCGGAAGTTGCAAAAGTGCAGAGAACACGGCCTTGGACAAAGCCACTCCAGTGGGCCAAATGACTGGATCAACCTGGCGAAGGACGGGAAAGGTATGCATTGGATCAGCATCAACATATTGATGAACACGCAAACATGCTTGGCCATCCCACAAAAGCGAAGTCGGAGACACCATGTGCGCATGCGCGTGTGTGCGCACGAGGTTTGGTCGGCGGGCGGCGGCCCCGATGCAGAAACCCAACTATCCTCAAACACCAGAACCCAACAATCCTTAAACCTGAGGCAAGTGGCTGTATTCAAGAAAGCACCAGTGAGAACGATCATGGGAAAATCCAGCCAGTGGTCTTGAAAGGTGGCTAAGTCCAATGGTCCATGGCGCCCTTGCCTATTCATCTTATACGCCTCGCATCTGGACATCTTTTGCGGGTCCAAGTCGACTGGAATCACACCGGTTTCTGAATGCGGCAACTCGAGCGGCCATTCGTCCAACCCATCGCCATGGCTGGAATTCGGAATCGCTGCGGCCAAGCAATCGTGCAATCCATCCAAGATATCCAGGCCGGTCACCACGAACGGAGCCAAAGGCCGACGCGCTGTTGGCCACACCGAATCGAGGATGTCCCGGACTCTGTGCACTCGATCGGCGGAGTCGATTGCAGCCATGCCGGCAAGCTGAGCTTTCTTCACGTCACTTCTTGGGTTAAAGACACAAACAGTTGCGTTGAGTGTTGAAGCTTGTGGCTGAAATCGATGGACATGCGCGCCACAAGTGGCAACTGGTGTTCCTCCTGCAGAATTGAAAAGTTTCAGGCTGTGGCTGCCTCTTGCGAGTGACGGCATGCTTGATCCGATGTTTCCAGGCAACGACAAAGGTTCCACTCAGATTGCTCTCCCACGCGCAGTGCGACTCAGAACTGACTCAGCACAGCAGGGTGTCCAGCCGAGTTCTGAGGCAAGGACAATGGCCCAACATCAAAGTTATCCTTCTCTTCCACCTTGGCCTCTTCAGCCATGTCCTCGGCTCCCAGTTGCCAAGGCCAAGTCCAGAAGCCCAAAACAAGAAATAGCCAAGCAGAACCTTCGTGAAAAGAGCGGCTCTTAAGATCTCAACAACAACGCTAAACAGGCATGGCACGATGTGGAGCTGCGCGATCCTGCGCGCTTTTGTGAGGCAAAATGCCGCGAATCGGCTTGAGCCCAGCAGCATACACTACCATGTCATCATGTCACCATGTCTCTGGTCTAGCAAAGCGGGGCTCAATCCTTACCAACAGCTAGCGACTTTGAAAAGCCCACTGACAAAAGCTTCCCCCAGTTCCCCTATAGGCTTGGCTGCCACACTACGTCTGATCTGAGGCGCTTCGTCCGGCACGCAGCTAAGCTCCCAAAATGAACTCAAGCAATTTGCACCCACGACAGCTGAATTTTCGCAGGCAAGACATGGCAGCTCCAGCCGGCAGAGGCTTCAGATGCTGCCTCAGGCTTCAGGTTGGGTGTCAACTGTCAACACAGAGTCTGCACTCAACTTATGATGCTGCTGCGAATGCCGCCGCTTCTACTTGATTAGCGGCAGATTCCGCAGAATCGGAAGCTGGAAAGTATGGAACTTGGAAACTGAGTGGTCGATAAAGATGATGACAACTCGCCCGCCGAGAATACACCCTTGCGCTCAAGCGGCTTGGGTAAAGCATCACGCGGCATGGGGCGCCGAATGCCTGTCAGAAATTTCATTGCGGTACTGAACTCAACTTCTACGTGAAACAATTCCACGTACACGACTGCAGGGGCATCACAATGATTCATTTCATCTGCTGCGACACACACACACACATGCTATTTGACACGGCACAGACGGCACAGAGGAGCACGGGCAGTCACAGAAACTTTTCCCCAGCCTTTGGAGGGATGTTCTTCACAAACTTCGCACGCACAACGCCCGAGTTGCCGTGAGAGCGGCGAATCTGTCGAGGCAACCGTTTTTTCAGGGGATCTCTGCTGCACGAAGCAAGAGCTTCATTACCGGCCACAACACGAAGCTCAAGGTCTCGTCCTTGCAGCTCTGTTCTAGAATGGCTGTCGCAATGGCTTCACTTGGGTTTAGTGTAGTCGGCCTTGAAACTGTTGCGCATGCTTTACCAAAAGCACTGGAGCACGCAGACAAGAACTGCGCCTTGCCCCACATCACTCGGAACTTGCTGTGCTTCACCTCCTTCTTCGCCTAGCTCTGCCAGATGCCGCGAGCACTCGATCTATGGCGCGAATGTATTGGCGTGCCCAAGCTATGTACATACTGAGGCCTTGTAGACATAAGCCACACGCTTGCCGATGTAGAACTGCGTGTCTTCCTGGCGGGATCTGGCTCCGATTGTGGTCTACTTCTACTACACATGCCCAGACGTGCCGATAACAAGGAGCCAGTGCACACCTTGGTTCGAACGCCATCAATCTTGAGAAGGGTGCAGCTGGCGTAGCAGTTGGACTTGCTACGCTTGTAACCTGGCAATGACTCAGGTCCTCTAGACGACGCCCCACGAGCATCAAGACGAAATCATTCTTCTTTACGACTATATATCACGTAAAATCGGATTTGTCTTGTTGGACTGCCCAGTGCACCAACTTTTTGACCTCTTACATCATCAGGCTTGCAGCAATTGTCGCGCCTTTGACAGCCGTGATGGTAAGAAAGAATGACGAGCTCGATGTGTCGCCCAAATTGAAAAGAAAAACGAAAGGAAAAAGAATGTTCCGAATGCTACACAGAAGCCCAGGATCAGGCCCTTGGCATACAGCCGTACCGGCTGCTTCGTCTTCTTGATGAACTTCTTGGCCTGCAACACTCTGCAAGTCAGCTTCCCAGTCACCGTTATCAAGTCAAGTCAAGCTATGTGGCCCTGGCAAGCCCGGATGCATTCTCGGCCTTTCCCGCTGGCTTTGCTTCACCTTCAACATGATCGCAAGTGACATGTTTATCAAGTGCCCTGCAGGCCCCGGTCTCAACAAACGTGCCTGCCATGACGCCTACTTCGCGAGGCGAATTGCGTCCGCTTATGTCCGAGCCATAAGGCACCGAGAAGCACGGGACACCATTAGCACCAGTATTATGAAGAATTGGGAAGACAACCACTTGCAAGTCACGTTGGCAAGGCCGAGGCATCTGTCTATTTGTCCTCTAAACGGGCACGAACGGACAGACAAGCGACACTGCAGCCCTGCTAGCAATGCTAGCAAGTAAGCGCAGAATTGTTGTCTGGGCATTATCCTATTCAAAATAGTCAACAAATAGCCAGTCGAGGAGAATAGGAGAACGATTCAGAATCCAACGCATCCAAATTTCATTCAAAGGCTTCAATCCTCCTCTGACTGGGATGGCGCGTGCCACAGCGTATGCCGGGCCATCAGTCAATCCACAAAGGGCGTCTCCTGCCCCAGGCCCCAGCCCCACCCGAGCAACAGGCAGAGTCTCAACGTCTTCTGATGCAAAGCAAGGTGTACGTCCGACCAGCCTGATCGCACATGGCATGCACTTTCTCAATCTGCCTCTCACCTTGGCATAAGTGCCCAGCAGAAGAAACAACCTCCCCGGGCTTCTGATTGAGCAAAGACATGACATTGATCAGACATGTGTGACACTGTTTCTAGTAACCTAAAGAATTCCCTGTGTGCCGTCGGAGGGCAATAGAAGTCCGGAGGCACACGACTGCTTGCTGTCCCATTCCCACATGTTATGACTTCCATGCCAACGTACTGCATCTTTGGGTACCTCGTGGGATTGCATTGAGTGCGACTTGCGAATCACGACAAAGTGACTGACTTTTGAAGCAGAAGGCACGACATCCACTAAGGCAAGCGGCGCGCTGAATGGCACAAGCATGTCTATCAGGCCCATGGTGTACCTTAATTAAGCAACAGCATGCGGACACTTGCCACACCAGATCACACCAATGTTGAGGTTTCTAAGAAGACAAGCAAGCAATAAGCGACCTGCAAAGTTACGCGCAGACACAAACCGCCCGTTCGACATAGACGTAGAATTGCTAACCAGGCCTTGCTGGAAGACATCCCCGCCACGCGGCACCATAGATGCATCTCGCCGCGTGAGGGTGCCATCATTAGGCAGCCAGTTGGTCGGAGTAGACGGAATTGATGGAGAGGGGTCTGTTGCAAGCAGGAGCGAGGTAGTGCCTCTGCAGACCAGGTGGCATGTTCCGTCTCCGACTGGACATGGGCAACCCTGGCAACAGCAAGCTGAAGCAAGCAAACGTAGTGATTGCCAGGCCTTGCCATGTCCATGTGTGTCGCGGACGGCCAGGACGGACGTGGACCTTCCCCAGTTTGTCTTCGTCACTTCTTTTTGGGGATGGTCGTGTGCAACAATGACTTTCTCCCAGGGTCCTCGGGGCTATGTCCCGGCACCTCTGTCCTCGCGACGTGCAAATCTTTGCATGTTCAAGGGCTCAGAGGGACTCAGAGGGACTCAGTGGGCAACTTGGACGGGACATATGCTGCAACATGAAAGACTATCTCCTGCCATCTGCAGGCACCAGCCCTCCCGGCAGTGTTCGTGTCCGACGTGAGGGCGGGCTCGGCAGGCCCGGCAGGCCACGGCGAAACGAAAACCTCTGTCGCTGCTTGATCTCCCGGAGCCTCACCTTACCAGCCAAGCTTATCACCCGCTGACCCAAACAGCATTCACATGCTCACAGCCCAAGTCGCTCCGCACTCATGGCGTCTTTGCTGGAAGGCCCCATTGGTTCTGTCATGAATCCTTGGCAAACGGCAGGGCTTGACAAACAGCACAGGTGGCATCAGCCCTCCGGTTTTGGCAATATCTACTTGTCAGCTCCTGACCCAGCTTGAAACTCAATCACCCCCACAAAGCGTGACCAATGCGTTCGTGGCACTGCAGAAGCAACGAAAAATCCATAATCCGAAACTCCTTTCAAGTTTGAACTGCTCACCAGCGCAACTGCCCTCCGTGGATTTTAACAGTTGGGTGACTGCAAACAAAGAGGGGCATGGTTAGTCCGCTTCTGCCTGGACCGCTGGCCTGATGATCTCGCTGTTCAGCGAGCGAAGGATTTTAAAAAAAGGGAGCGTGTGGATGCGCAAACTCCTGCAGCAGCTCGACGTCAGCCTGGTGGACTTCGGCTACCTGAGGCTGAAGGCGACAAAGCATTAGGTGCCTTGATGTCCCCCTTAATCAGAACTCCTTTAAGGGATTCTACCGTTCTACCAGATACCAGCCTCCCGACTTCCCGAATTCTTTAGAACTTTAGAGTCTCAAGAACCCACCATGATCCCCTCGTAGGCCAGCCTCGGCTCCGATGGCGCGCGGAAGGTCCAGGGAAGGCCCCATTTCCTTCCAAGGGAGCTCGGACAGCGTGGCCGTGTCAACGACCCTCCCCGCCCACAAACAAAAACAGGGTCCTCATCGAAATTCACGTCCTTTCCAACGGAGTCGTGCGGGTCCGAGATGCGGTTTCGGGTGCTCCCCTTGATGTCGTACCTGACACACAGGCCAAAAAAGTGCCTAGCAGCTGAAGACAGGCGAAGGCAACACACTAAACGGAACTTCGACATGGTCATGTCCACAGCAAATGGAGCAATGGAGGCTACTGCCAAGCAGAAGACTTTACATAGTGGCTTGTTGCAGACGTGAAGCGTGTGCGAGATTCCAAGGGAGTGCCTTGCAGGTCTAGACCGAATGCGTGAGCCGATTCTTGCCACCAATGTACAAAATCTTTACAGTGCCAATTCGCTTCCAGGGTCAGTTCGGTCTATCGCTCAAGGCTCTCGAAATTCAGCTTGGCGGCGTTGTCACCGAGCGCATCACAAAAAAAAGACGAGGCGGATGCCCCTGCATGCTGACCTAAGTTGGTTGCTCGGATTGCTTGGGCCGGATGCAGATGCCCCGGTACCGGCACGGAAGCCCCACCCCCTCATCCCAGTATATCCCAGAATCTGTACGAAAAGCATGTCGACAAAGGCTGGTGGCTGACGCGCCGTGTCATGCCGTGTAAAATGCAGGCTGAAGTCTAGCGTTAAAAACAAGCCTCACAAGCCTGCAGCAAAGAAAACGACTCCATCCCAGACGCGCGGTAGAGGCCAAGGTATCGTCCAAGGATAGAGCGAGGCTCCTCTTTTAGCCTGATGCGCCCACCAGCTGTAGCAGGCAAAGTGACTGCACAAAGCACCAAGCCCTCGAGGCAACCCTGGGCAGCCTTTGCAAGTACCGCGGCAGCATCTGAATCAACGTCTGCGCCTGAGGCACAAGCACAGCAAGACTGCGACAATCTCCGGTTCTCGAATGAGTACGAGGATGCAAAAGTGGTGCCAGTGGTGTAGCACCGTGTAGCCTCCAGCTCGGAGGTGCTCTTCAGCAAATACCTGGGCTGAAAAGCATGCGTGCGCTTGTGCCACATGCACAGGAAATTACTGCATTGTTCCGCTGTCTGCAGGGCACTGGAGCCCCGGGTTGTGGCTACGTAAAGCTGCCAAGCAGCTGGTGATCGTATGTGAAAAAGAAGAGCTCGCCGCTCTTGGAATTGGTGCCAAACCTGTTCAACTCTGCTACGCGGGCGGAGCACGCTCTCTTGCAGTCTTCTCCGCTTGACTGAAAAGCGTTGGACGAATTGCATGCGAGCAGCTCAATAAATTCGAAGTCCGTCCGGCAAACAGAGAGGAAGTAGGCTTCACTCGAGATGCCGGAACAGCCTTGGCTCACAAATCGCTTCGAATGGGCTGCGAGCCTCTACGAGCAACTATCTTGCAGAGCACCCTGAGTTCTGTCCCTACTACGACTACGATGCCAAGCTCGAGTTCTGCAGAGCAGCGCCGGACCTCGGAGAACAGCCTCGGCGCAAACTCCTCCACTTGGAAGGGATTTTCCAAGCCTGTCCGCGCTAAGAACTGAAATCCAGAAGGTGTACACACATGCCCATGTTTGTCATTCTGCGCGTCTCTGTGCGTGCATGAGTGTGTGTGTTTGCTATAGATTCTTGCGCATGGCGGATAGGCCCAGGCTACTTACGAGGGCTTCAATCCCGCTGCCCCCTTCCAGAACCAATAGTATGCATTACTAGTGCTACACTTCTGCACATGCGTAAGCGTGGCATCGTCGGGCACGGCTCACAAGGAAGAAGAATGACGAAGTACGGCTCTAGTTCTGCAGTGCACGGTGCATGTTTGCGTGCCCGTGTGCTCGTTTGGAGGAGGGAGAGGTGGAAGTCGGGGCAGGTTGGGGCAGGAGAGCGGCTGCCTGACCCGTTTTGGCTTTGTCCTTCCAATGCAGAAGTGCGGGGTTGGACTTGGTTCATCTTGATCCATGAATTCTCCGACGAGGCACAGGTCTGCGGGCTGTATGCAGAACCACCGGGTGGCACAGGGAATACGCGGACATGGTCCCGAGTGCAGTCGGAGTAGCTCAGCCTGAAGTTCACCCGGGCTCTGAGCGCAACCCGCTGCTGCAAAGTAAAGGGGATGCGTATGATGCAGTTCCGCTCTCGGCTGTTCCCCAGATCCCTTGAAGTTCACAGGGCCGCTGCCGCTCAGGAGCATGGGCAGCCGCGTCTCGAAGGCTTCTTGGCATTTCTCCTTGCCCCCAGCAGCCTGCGTGGCCCACATGGCGACCAAGTCGGAGCAAACCTCAGTCGATCAAGATTGCTTAGCTTTACGAACAATCAGGAGGTCGTGGCTCCTTGCTGTCTTGGCTCGCAGTAAATGCAGGTGATATAAGCCCAAGTGGCAACACTCACGTGAATTCCGATCATTGCCATGATGGAGAAGGACTTGGCAACGAAAGCACAGCGGTGGATTGCAACTTGTTGCAACCCTTTGTGGACATGCAGCAAATGATGTCTGCAAAGTGCAGGAAGTGTGGATGCCTGCTGCGATTACATGATAAACTGCCGGGGCAAACTCATCTGGCAATGAAATCGGTGATATCGGGCCCCTGACATAGTTGTGGTGATCCTTGCTGACGATTCTGTCGTCGTCGTCACGCTCTCTTCCTGACAGCAGCTCGGCAATGTCAGTTTCTAGCAGGATGCCATCAGACCCACACAGTCTACTACCTGCCGCAAATTCAGCTGCATGCTCCAGGCCTCGAATTTCATCGAGGATGGACTCGCTTGGGAAATCGTGCCTCGAAAGCCGCCAGCATTAGAACTAGCAGAAGTCTTAGTCAGGGATGAGAAACGTAGTACTAGTCACTGTAGTCCTCTCCAAACTGAATTGCATCCGTCTTGATGCCGAGGCACGGCAGCCACTCGCGTGTGTCGTCGAAATTCCCCAGGCCCTCTGGCGAAACTTGGTACTCCTCCGGGCAAAAACACCCTGAAAAGCTGTGCACAAGCCCGAAGTTTAGTATCCACATTCTCGCCACATGGTTTATCATGCTTCTCCCATCCAGTTGCTGTGACCTCGCCACATTTTCGGGCCCATCGGAAAGAACCAGCCATCTTCTAAAATTGCGCTCACAACCCAAGCCCTGACTAAGGACCCCAAACCCTTCGTTGCTGGGCCGGCCAGCTCCTCCCACGCAGCTTCCAGGCCGGCCACTAATCTGCAGCAGCCATCCTTGGCTGCTATTTGTGGGCTAGTGCGGGATGGTTGTTTTTGCCACCTGCTCTGGCTGGACGAACCCCCCTACACCAAGTAATTCACAAGTAGCACAAGGCTCCAGAAGTGTCCCCCCCTGTCGGATGTCACGAATGTCCCTTCGGAAGTGTCTAATTCCACCCCTCAGGAGTGCTGTCAAGCGGCCATGACCTGGCGGCCTCGAGATATGTGGGCTTATGGGATGAGTATCTGCATTCTGCAAAAGGACGCGGCACCGTTTGCGACAGCAACAACGGTAGTATTCGGAAATCGATCTTTGGTGAGGCTGAGAGAGGCACTTGCGAGCTCCTGCGCTTGGATTTTAATCAGCCCAAAAACTTCAGAGGCTTGCCAGCTCAAAGATGCTCAAAGCCTCCCCCAAGTGCCCCCCCCCCCCCCCCCCCCCCCCGTGATCTGGGCTAAAAACTGTATGGAGTTCAGGTTCGATAAAGTTTCTTTTTTTAAGGCTTTGACTGTCTCTCTGGCGTTGCTCGTGCTTTAACCGCTTACATTCGGACAAACCAGGCGAGGAACGGGTGTAAGTGTAAGTGTTCAGGAATGCCAGGATGGCATGGCAAAAGTTCACGTTAGATCTTCCGAAGCTGCCGAGCAGCGGGTATCCCGACGCGGCATGAATGCGGACATGCTGCCTGCCTGAACAGCTCAGCATAGACACAGTGTCAGGCTCACATTTTGGAGGCGCTGTGTCCCTAAACTTCGACTCTTCCGAAACTCTGCCTCGACCGGTCTAGCATGTGCGGAGCCCAACCTCACCTCATCGAGCGATGAGTGCAGGTCGCTCCAGTCTTCAGCTCGAGCAAGGTCTAAGGCCCACAGGTCCAGCAACTCCTAACCGCGCAGGAGACTTGCATGACGAGGCATTGGGCATGAACGTGTCGTGGTGAGAGGTCCAAACGTTACGCGCATCGGAAGGTAGGCTGCTTCGGACAATGCTGTCTACTTAGTCTACTTCAGATACTCCTAAATTGCACGCTGGCTCACTAGCATGTCGTCCTGCTTGCGGTTTTTCTCATGGAGGAACAATGCAAAGTCTGCCTGGGCAAGCTGGGACAAGTCGTATGATGCAGTGCTATACACTATACATCCTGGCATCTTCCTGGCATCCCCTGGTGGTTGCTGCGGGCACTAGATTTTGGGAGCATCTGCCTCGGCGTCTTCAAGCTTCGGCTTCAGCTACAGTACTACACTTACTACACCTCGGCTGCAGGTCTTGGAGTGCGGCTCACTGCACCTACCTTCCCAGTAGAATGCTTCTTGAGGCGGCGCTTCGATCGCGGTCGGTCCTCCACCAGAGCTCCCTTTCGCTTCTCGCGGTCCAAGTTCCGCTTCAACCAGGTCCGGACTGCTTGCCGCGTCCGAGCAGCATACAGCACTTCGCCAGACCGATCCAAAACCCGAAACATTGACCGCCCGTCGCTGCTGCCGCTGCTGCGGCCAAGCCTCGATGGTGAAGGTGGGATGGTAATGCCGGCTGGGGAACTCGGAAAGGCTGTCGTGGCCAGCTCTGTAACATCAGGGCTGCCAAGGCCACGGCTTTTCATCGGCGCTGGCCAGGGATCAAGTTCACAAAACAGGTTGCACACACTGCTCCTGCAGCAACGACAGCAGCACGCCTCCTCGTCGCCCACACCATCCCCAAGTGACTGCGGCCTGTCACTGTCGACCAGAACCCACCACGCCAGCATCCCAAGAATAAAGGTCCCTGCGCAGATGATGACGAACACACCCACAACTCCCACGCATTGGATGTGGTAGGTGAAAGATCGCCCGTACAGCACCAGACTGTACACAGCCAGACCAAGTGCTGTTGCCTTGATGGTGCGCCCGAAGCATCCCATTCTGGCACCAAGCCACTCGAACCAGCTCAGCTTGCATGCGCAGAAGAGGCAGCCACCGAAATCCACCATCATGTACATGCTTATGCAGAGCACAACCAAGGACCAAAAAGCATCCAGGCTCTCTGCTGTTGGACAAGTAGGTAAAGCTTTCGGCTTGCCAAGAGTTCGCACTGCGAGGAGGAAGCCCAGACTCAAGAGCCGAATGCCTAGGCGCGAGCCACCAACAGAAGCAGGGAACAAGGCAGAACAACAATGTCAAGAACACCACAAACACCTGCCTTCCAACTGCCTAGGACCTACACATCCAGATATTTGCCATACAGCATCGCACCGGGGGACCCCATATTGCGCAGTGCTCCTCACCCTGCGATGCCGATGCCACGGTGCGGCGCGAGGAGATCGCCATAGCGGGGCAGCTACGTACGGCGGAGCTGGCATTCTCAGGGTCACAGGCTTAGAATGGCTTATGACGTTTTATGACGACTCTTGCACAGTCACCGAATCCTGGATCCCCCTACATCTCCCCAAAATCAACAGATCTTTGTGGCTTGGGTACTTGGTTTGCGAGCATGGCTCAGCATGACCGGCTCAGGTTTCAGAACGGATGACGTCAACTCACGAAGGGCCCGGCCAGGAGCCGGCCATCCCTAGCGAGGCGCTGCGGGAGGTCGGAGTCTGCGGCCTGGTGTGGGCGGATTGTTTGGGACATCAGGTGGAGCCATGATTGAGCAATTGAGCACTGACAGTGACTGACGGTGCACCATGACCTCCGCTCCGCGTCTCGATGTCAACTGGGCTATTCAATAGGCTATTCAGATCTTTTCAGCTTCCATGCATCAGGTCGAGCTCACCCGCCAGATTTTGCGGCTGCGCGAATTGTGCATACAAGTGGACTGTGCGCCAGCAGATGTTGACTGGACATATACATACCATGAAAACAGAAACGGGCGACGACTGTGATCTCAGAATCTCAGCCGTGGGTGTGCGCCTTCGAACTTTCTCTCAGGCAACCGCTGAAACAGGAAGCACACCAGCAAAATGTAGGCTGTCTCCTCTGCGCAAGAAGACCTTCAAATTGCCTGCAATCGTCAGCGAACTTTACAACACTGTGCAGCACTGGTTTTCCTGCTTCTTCTTCTCCACAAAAGCAAACCAAAGCGACGTGGCCCTTGCAATCTCCATCTTGTTGAGCTCGCCATCACCCATTACGTCCGCTTCCTGTTGAAGCTCAAGGAATCAAACTGAGCAAGCTTAAAAGCTTCACGAGTTTCACACCGAAAGGCACTGAGGTCTACTATGCCTATTCAATTCTTGCCACATGTCTGGGACCCTTTGGCGCCAAAAAGACTGAAACGTCAAATCTTAGGTTCGGGGCATTCTTTTTTTGGGGGGAGAGACGGGTGAATTATGAACTCCTTCATGACCCAGTCCGCTTCTGCATCTTCTACTTCCATCCCTCCGTTGAGGTCGGTGAGGTACTGCTTGAGCTCTTCCTTGGAAAGCTTGCCTGTCTTGGAGACATCATACTTTTCAAGCTTGGACTCGAACAACTGGCGATGTTCCGTGAAGGTGTGCCAGCAAGAGAGAAGCTCCTCCAATTCCGACACCTCGATGGAGTCATCTCCAGCCTTGTCATAACACTTGAGGAGGAAGTCAACTTGATCTTCGCTGGGAGGCGTCCCAGGTGGCGTGGAGGAGTCAGTGTCCGTCAGGAGCTTCACGACTTGGCCTCGTTCTAGCTTACCGGTCTTGTTCGTGTCGTATGCCTTGATGATCTTGTTGAGCTTGACCTTGCGCTGATATTCGCGCCAAGCGGCTTCCTGACGCTTCTGCTCTGCGGCGGATACTGGTGTTGGACGGTAGCCATGGTTGTGTTTCTGTTTGCTGGCTCGCCTGGCAGCTAGAATGGCAGCAACGTTGCCCACAGGCATGGCTCTGTTCGAGGCTGTGGATGGAGCCCCGGACGCAGCTGGCACACAGTTGTGTAGCAAGCTCTACCGAAAACAAACGGTGCTCTTGCTACACGCTCATAATGGCTTTGCTCATCCTGTGACAAATAAAGATACCTCCAAGTCCCCAAACCTCTGTTACGCACTTGATCGCACTTGAGCCGAAGGCCGAGGAAAGAGAACTGACGAACACGCTCGGCCCTTATGGCCCTCATGGGCCTTCCCTACTTGTAGACGCATAGATTGTGTAGACACCGAACGGGCACAGCAATGGCCTCCGAGACCTGCTCCAGCTGCCGGACCGAGTTAACCTCTCGTCTCGAAGCAAGAAAAGAAGGAAGCACTCTCTCTCTCTCTTACAAAAGGAAGCGTTGGTTCATTGGATTTGCTCCCTTTTTCTGGGGGCTGCAATGGTCGCAATGGCCTGCAGGGAGTGTGGACGGGTCCAAACTTTAGTCCAAACGAAGTCAGCCGAGACACCACCTGAGCCGAGGTGTCATGGGACAGGCAGACGCCCATCGTTAGCCGCAGCCGGGCGACATGAGGCCCACGATGCTGCACAGGGCCAGCACTTGGTATTGTGGTATATTGTGGTTTCATGGCAGGGGCTTTCTCGACCTTTACATTGAGTTCAGCTTTTTGTCTTCCTGGGCGTCTTCAAGATTGGCGGAGGCGCGGTTGGGGGTACAAGAATTTCGAATGAAGCTGCAATTCGTTAGCCTCGCACTTCGCCGGCCTTCAGTTCCAGTAGTTTGTTCAGTCCGGACTTCTCTCCTAGACTAGACTCTAGACTGACTAAACTGCGCAGAAGACAGCTCTACCGTCAAGCGGACAAAAGCTTGGACTCTTGAAACTTATTGACCATCGAGCTTTTCAGCGGGGAAACCCAAATCGGGACTGTGGGCGCCAAACTCTCCCCCCCCCCTCTCTTCAGATTCCCGACATGGCACTTGATCTCATGATCTAGGTTGCTTGGTCCGGAAATGCATCTGTCCCGAAGATTAAAATTTCCTTTCGCTGAACCTTAGCGCTCCTCATCACGCACTTCTGAACTTGAAACCTTGTGAGTGCAGAGTTCAGTTTAGGGTTGAGTGCAAGACTCAGTCCAAGGCTGAGCTGAGGATTAAGGTCAGGACTGAAAGGTCCTGAGTAGAGGACTACGTGACTGCAGTCGCTGCGGACTCTAGACTTGCACGAGACTGTCCAGGAACCTTCGCTAGTCCTGCGCATCTTGTTGCCACAAACACGGACTTCCTGAAGAGCAAGCCGGCGCTTTGCATCAAGACTCTCGACAAACCGAATTTCCTTGTTCACGGATCTGTCGTGGACGCTGACATGTCATGGAAATGTATTTTATGCGAATTCCTTTCAAGGATGTTTAGATCAAAACCCAGATATCGGACAGAACAGGCCAAGGAGGGCCTCGATGACCCTCAGACAAAGTTGCAAACAAGAACACAAGGAAGCTGCGAAGGAGCTACCTTTCGCAACGATTGCTTCTGCAACGAGCTCTGCTTCCTGCCTGATTCAGCAGTCTGCAGTTTTGCGACGGGTTGACTAGCAGAAACTTTTCGGGCGCCTGTTGATTCAGAAACGATCGAACAGAACGCAAAGCTGCAAGCTCGCTCTGGACGATCTGCAGGCCGAAAAGATTCTGGCGTACAGAGCCAGTGAGGCAAGCCAAAAGTTGCTTCATCCGGCTAGAACAGGCTCCGAGACAATCGCAAACTGACTGCCTTGGAATGCCAAGCTTTCACATCGGGTCTGACACAGTTGCTTCAGACTTTTGACAACAGAGCTAAAGATAGCTGAAGTGCCATGTCGCCTAACTGCTGCATCTGCTTCAAAGTGTACTATGTCCTGGCCTGTGCTTGTTGACAAACCTTGTACAATGCCCCTGGAAGGTCTTCTGAGTTATCTTACAAGCGTGCTAACGACGACGACATGGATGTGGCCGAGGGCCTTAAAACTTCTATGGAGGTACTCAAGACATCTCAAGACGTGGTGCAACACTGGCTCTGAGGTTTCTTGCCAACGTAGCCATACCACAGCGCTGTTGCTAGCTCAAGCTCCATCTTGTTGAGTCCACCGTCACGGATGACGTCAGAGGTTGTCATGACCCAGTCCACATCGGTTTGCTGTACATCGTGGCCACCGTTAAGCTCAGTGAGATAAGCCTTCAGCTCTTCTTTTGAGAGCTTCCCAGTCTTTGAGAGATCATACTTCGCCAACTTCTCGTCAAAGATGCGCCGCTTTTCGCTAAACGTGTACCAGCAAGACAGAAGCTCCTCCAACTCCTTCGTCCTAATGGAACCGTCTTCCTTCACCTCACAGAGCTTCAGTAGGAACTCCACCTGTTCCTCGGCTCGGGACAATCCACAAGAACAGACCTGTGGTTTCATGTTCACCGGCCAGGCAGTTTGCATTAACACCTTAGGCCCTACAACCCAGGCGGCTTAGGTGCGAAACGGATATATTGAGAATATGATCAGGAAGAGAGATAAAGCGTGGCTGCCCTGAAGCATTCTGGTGAGCTTCCTCAGTCGGAGGAACCCCTGGAGGTGTTGAGGAGTCTGTGTCAGTTAACAGCAGCACTAACTGGGCCCGTTCCAGGCTGCCCTTCCCATGCACGTCATAGTCCTTGATCGTAAAGTGCAGCCGTGCCTTTCGCTGTAACTCGCGGACCGATGCTTCGTGCCGGTCGTAGCCGTACGTGTACTGAGTTGATCGGTAACCGAACATGCCAGTCGAGGCGGACGTGGAAGCACATCCGCGGCGGGCGGCCAGAACAGCCCCCACAGACATGGCGTCCCGAACGTTGTCGTATCTTAGGCAATTGCGTTGATGAGTCGTACCGGGTCGTACCGCCGGCTTCAGTTCTTGGTAGGGTAGCTGGTACTGCCGCTTGCCGCTAAGAAACCTTGGCTTGAACCAGACAGCTTCGGGCAGATCCAAGTCCCCCGCACCAGAACTTCACCAGTCAACCCAACAACGCACTGATCCCGATTGTGAGACCTTCAAGCCCTGCAAGATCCTAATGGTCCGGCTCAAGTCGGATGCTCTTCTGTGTCTGTGACAACGGCATGGTTCTAAGGCAGTGTTTTCCATCTTTCTGCCGACCCCGGCAAGGCCCGTTTGAGGAGGGCAAACCCACAGACTTGCCGGTTTTTTTTCTGGATATGCTGGGACCATTCACCCCATAAGTATCGTGTGTTTGGAAGGCTTTTCCAGGCAGTTCCTTCGTAAAATGAACCAGGATAGGCAAGGGACCCCACAGTACGATTGGTGGTTTTGTTTGTTGTTTCGTTTCTTGCGGTGTCGTTGTTTTTCTGAGTTCTCATCTTCCCTTGGCTTTTATCATGTGCGGACCAAGACGCACCACGGATGTCTGTTGCGCTGCTTGCGTCCATGGTCATGGTTGCGTTTGCGTTGTTCTGCCTGTGTTGATGCGGTTGTTGTGTTGCTCTGTTGCTACGTCAATCTGCACGTGGCCGGCTGCGGGCAGCAGCCCCTGCCTTGGTGATGCTTCTCTTTGACTGCAATGCGCGAGCAACCTGCAATGATACATTCGCAGTGGCAAGTCTGCCTGTTGAGTCTCGCCCTGCTCAATGTCTAGGATTTCCTGAAGCCCTCCTAGCCAATTCAAAAGTGGCGGCCAAAAGCCCGAGGGCATGTCATTATCATGTCAATGACCAGGTGGGAGCCTTGCCTCCTGTAACAGGACAGCACTGAGTCCTTCAGCGTAATAAGCGCTTGGGTTTGATGATGCCATGGCAGTGGTCGCTGAGGTGCTAGCACAGTCGAGGCACTAATTGATCTACAGTCGCCGATAGAGCAGCTAGACCAAAGCAACCACGTCACTGGCTGGTGCAGCAAATTGCACGGAAAGCCACTCAGATCGCTCAAAGCGGACCTGTGGTTTGCTCAGCCATGGGGCAAGATGGTCCATTTCTGGGCTACTTGGGGTGCCCATGTCTTAGCGGCTGATCTGCAGATGTTTTTTGCTATACTTCCGACTTGGCCCGTGGCCTCCTTGCACAGCATGCCAGAGTGCCTCTCCACAGCGCAGACTTCAACCACTTCGCCTGCAACCTGACCAGCACAGCCATCTTGCTCCAAGCACAAGGATTGGTGCAACCACAACCAGTTCCTCGCATTGGGCCATGTATGCCAGGACACCCCATTCACTTCGAGAGAAAACACCCCCGCGTTAACATCGAGATCACGGAAACGAAGCGATGATGTCGGCACCAACTTCGCCTCGGCTTGCACCGTCAGTGCAAAAGTGCTGCCGCAACCTGTCTGTGCTGCATCGCCTGAACCTAGACATGGATAGGATAAACGCAGCATGTTTAAAGGCTGTTTAGTGCAAGAGGGCATACGCCAGCCAGGCGACCCTCTCGCCGATCAATGCCCAACCCGAGCCGTAGATGAGCGGCACAAGCAACGCATAACCTGACGGCATGAAACAGACACTAGCAACACAGAGGTGAGAAACCAGCACATGGGCACAATTGCCTGGAGCGATTAGTTTCACGTTGTGTTGTTAACTTGGGCAGCCTTGGTGCAAGCTCGGCCTGCAGTTCAAATTTCTGGACATGCACGAAATGGCCCTGACTGACATTAAAAGGAGTCGAGGTTTGGCTGCCTTTGCGAAAGTAGGTAGTTTGCTGAATGCTTTCAAGCAGCTATGTCCTTCATATCCTCCCAAAACACTGAAGACGGATGAGGGCGTTGCGGCATCAAGCCACGTGAGCTTCCCACTATACCAGTCATAGACCTGCAGCTGGAACCAGAGTAAGTCACCGCCATGTCACGTCAACCATCGCCAATGCAACATCTTTCTGAGCGATACTTGCACAATGCTGAGCGCAAACCAGGTTGCTACGTAGTCTCTCTCTTCGAGTCCTCAAGTCTGCGACATGCCCGATTCGGGAGGACCTTCTTGCAAGACACCCGTCCTGTCCGCATTACATCCCGCACGTGCAGAAGGCCCGGCTGATCCATGAACAAATAGAAGATTTTGAATGGGCGCACGGCCGAGCCGTAGCCTGAGAGTTCCTCCGAGGGACGATGTGTGGCTGTGGCTGGCAGAGCGCATCGCGGGATGAATTGCGACAAGCATGTGCTATGCGGCTAGGAATCGGAATACGTGAAGTAGTTGTGGCATCCAGCCTCGGCCCGTTTGCCACTTGTGGAGCAAACTGTTCTTTGGCTTTTGCGCTTAAGATGCTGTGACTCTTCTTGGGCCCCAGACTGGGTCGACACCTAGGCAATCATGGCGCTATCACAAGATATCACAAGGTCATCTTGGTTTGCATTTGGAGCAATGTGAGCATGTTCTCAAGGGCCTGCGTCGAAGCAGGACTCGAGAGGCATCACCGGACGATCCGGTTTCAACACCTTCAAGGGCTCAGATGTTGGTTCCATTTTTTGGGCGGTGCTCTCTTTTTGCCGCTTTTTTGCCGCTACTTCCGTCCATGGCCAAGATTTGCATATTGGAACGCAGCTGCACCTTACCATCAGCCCGGCAGGTGGACATAACCCGAGTGGCGTTCAAAAGGTAGATGCCATCCTTAGAAAAGTCATTCGCGCAAATGCACACTGAGCCTTTACACAAAAACCAAATAGGCCGCGCTGCCGGGCTCTCTGCATCTACCACATGCAAGATGATTGTGCATGCTGCAGGACTCTGCCATCTGCAGGACTCTGCCATCTGCCAGCAAGGCTCCATTGGTCCCACACTCGCACCTGCGCGACTTTTCGGCAAGGCCGGGTGGCAAAGACAGCAGCATGCTTATGGTTGTGACACAGCCCCTGGCCTGACAATACTGCCATTAGTGCAGCACGATTTGGAGCTGTTTCAGGGCCAACCACCTGGACAAAATTCGATTCTCCGAGAGAATGGATAACTGGATAACTCATACCTCTTTGATAGCACATCCCCAGCAATTCCGAGCCTGGCCACCGACTTGTGGAAGATTGCCTAAGTCTCACTCGGATTAGCGCGGCTGGTCAAACTAAGCCGATAGGACGATAGGCCTCGCGCAAAGGTCATACAGCAACAGGCCACAGGATAGCCATGCTTTGCCTACGCCTTAAGTGGGGCCGAGCAGCTCGAGTAAAAGCCTCAGCTGAGCAAACTTCGCGGCCCACCAGAATTGCTTGAATCTGGTCCATCGCGTGTAAACTTGATTTCAAGGAGCCGTCCTTGAATGGCAGAATTCCAATGGCCCAGTAGAACATGGACCTTACCAAGGGCTCCGCGACAGGCAGCGTAGCAGCTTGGGCTTGCCTTTAGAACTTGCATGCCCCATAAACGAACTCAAGTCCTACAACCCAAATTGCCAAATTACCAAGGGCTTCAGAAGCAGAATTCTGGGAGAGAGTTGAGCTGCGGGGAGGTTCTGTCTGCCGAGGCCAGGCCTTCCACAAGCCTCTTCAAACCCAGCCCAGAGTCATAAGCCGATGTGGATGCTAATTCTGACTCCGGATTTGGTGGGGATGTAGTTTTTGAAGAAAGGCCGAGGTAGTCAGTCCGGAAGATGGCAGGAAAATATGCCGATTCAATGAATTGAAAGCCCGCTACAGAACAATCAAGACAACCTGCCGTTGCAAGGGGAAAATCTGCAACAGAAGCACCAAGACAAGTCTGAAAAGAAGCTTTAGAGAAGAAAAAAGCGGCATTTGACACAAATCTTCAGAAAAGTGCACTCTTTAAGTTGCTGATGTTTGTTGAAATTATACTGGTTGAACAGATGCTCATTGTAAACTGAACTGTCCATGGCGAAACACTTGAATTTACATATACAAGCATTGCACAGCTTTGGCTTAAGGGAAACGTTGAAGACAAAGACACACCAATAAAACGATTGCAAGCAATGTACAAAGCATCCGGTGCAGTTGCCATTTGCTGTAGAGACTACCACATGGCAGCATAAATAATCCAGAACCTTTCATTGCATGACAAGAAGCATGATGCAAAAGCGAAGCTAGCATCCACAAAATTTGAAAACCGTTTTGTATTAATTAACGGCTTATGCTTCGAGTAGACTTCGCGATTGACATTCCCGAATGCTATCGAGGAGCCACTAGATCTCTTCATGTATACACAGAGCTTTGTTCTTGCTGTGTTTTGATCATGTTGATGATGGTGCTTTCGCATGTGGCTTTAGTAGCTGCCACAACTTTCGGACATGGTGGAAGGAAACTTAAGGTAATTTGCTGTCATTATTCTTGTCACCGAATTTTTCACAGACTACAGGGAACCGTGCTGTTGATAAGCCACACGTTCTCCTACTACAGTTCGCACTGAGAAGGAGCCACGAAAGCTGGCTGGCCTGTTTTCTCTCGTGCGTGCTGTCTGTAAGGCTGAAGGCTTAGGGTCAGTGCTGTGGAGGAAACTCACGCGTGTGACAAGGCCGGGGTGAATGTTGTCCCTGGATGTGGCTGGCGATGCACTCCCAACTGTACAAGACACGTCATCCGTCGCTGTCAGACTCCCCGCCCCCACTGCACCCTGACTGTTGATAAAACTGATTAAACCACCTGATTTGGCCCACCAGGAAGATCTTTCCAGCCTTCGTGACAGCTGATGCTTGCTTTTGATGGGCGAAGAACACGAAAACAACACAACATCAAACAAGAATGTGATTACCCTGCAAGAAAAATCGTAAGCAACGCAAGAAAGTAAGAGAAGCAATTCCATCACCAATGGCGGACTAGTGAAACGTTGCTATGTGTGTACAACACTTTTTGTTTGATGTTCATTGCCGGAATGTAACTTATAGTCTTCTAGTGCTCCGAATCTGTCAACATTGGTTCCATTGCTGACCATCCAAAATCCAGCAACAAGTTTGGTTTGATTTGTTGTGGTCTCGTGATCGCGCAGTTCCATGAAAGAAGGCTCAGAAAATCGCAAGTCGCTCAAAGTAAAAGACCAAGTCGAAGCCATAAAGAACAGCAAGACAACCTCCTGTGCACCCTGTATCTGATACGGAGGTCTGCGCAACAACGATTATCGACCAGGTAGATTTGTTCCCATGCCATTCATCGCACAAGAACGAGCAGCTGCCAATAACGATGAGTGCCATATGACAATCAACTTTTTGACCAAGTATGAACCGACATTGACCAGGTACCGGGGCAGTTCTTTACATGTCTCTCCTGAAGAGTCTGCGCGGACACTTGGAGTGTTCACTTTTCTGACAATTCTGAATCCTGAAGGCTCCAGCCATGCAACAGCCCTGTGGGAACATAGAAAACCAAAATTTGGCAACCCGGCGCATCGGAAACATTAACACAAATTAAAACAACAAAAAAACCGCAACCTCATATGCAACAAGTCTGCGTAGCACCGATGGCCCATTGCTTGTCGCGTTTGATGTAGTCATCTGCAAGATTCAGCCGCTTCAGCATCTACACGCTCAGCAACTGACTCGGACTCAACTGGCCAATGCAAGAACCTGCCTGTTGCCCTTGCATTGGTTACCGCCGGATATGCAGAAGCAGAAAGGACGTCGTATGGATACGGCATGCAGTACCTTGGAAACTCTGCAGGTCTCCAACCACAAGGCACGCGACCTTTCATGAGGGCTCCTGCCAGGGCACTGGACCGTGCGACCGCTGCTCTCTGCTCCTGCTGCCATTCCATGGAGCCAAAGATCTCCCATGGAGATGTTGGTCTGAAGAGCCTACAAGCAGACTGGCCGCACTTGCTGGGCATCATGCTTATCATACTTCACACTCCCATTTCCCAACTCCAGCTGCGCAGAAAAGATCTCCACTAGAAAGCAAAGACTGCTAGTTACTGCTAGTTGTCATTCTCTCAGAGGTAGCTGCGGGTGCCTCGACATTGTCGTACTCCGTGCCTCAGTTCGGGAATTGTCAGAGGCTGAATCGCACGTTGTGCACAAATGGGAGTTCCACAGCAAGTCCGGCGCAACAATGACTCAGGGAGCAGCACATCCAGTCCTGCTCGTACATGGTCAGTCCCCAACCTTCTTGCTGGGTAAAGAACCACCTGCACCAGCATGGGCGTCTGCATCCGATTCTGGACTGACTGAACTGGTGCGCCTGAAAAAAGCTTCTGGGTCCTCGGGGACCGCCGCTTTTGGAGATTTGTACCACTTGAAGGGCTCATGCCTGGGCTCCCGAAGAGTGCAGATAGGAGCATTTTCTTCGAGAGTTGAACTCTCTCAGCTTTGTCAAAGATGCTTCACGTAATCCGAATTGGGGGACCACTGGCGGTTGTGCATCCTCGGCGAACAGGCACTACTCAGCCCCTGGAAGCACAGCAGGAGCAATCAGGGCTAAGTGCACATAAGCCATCAGCCAAGAAACACCATTGGCACACCAAGCCTGCAAATGGTAAAATGTGAAGTCGCATGTTGGGAATGTGAATGCCAAGACTACTTTGGAGTATCCGCAGCTGCGCAACTCCTCTGACAGCAAGGACTTTGCGCAACGTTGACGCCAAGCAGCTTGGACTGAATGTATGTCATGCCATGCGGAAACACGGAGGGAAGCGCCGTCCTGCAACACAACTTGAAAGAGCATGACAGCGTCCACAGATTTCCAGAAGCGTAGCCTTCACGGAATCTCCGCCAAAGGTGCGGCAAGGGGTGACTCAGAGGCTCAGGCCAGTTCACCACTGCTCCCCCGCCGCCGCCAGGATCAACTTTGCCATCTTTAGGGTAGAACCACGAATCGAACCTTTCTGGCTCATGCTTTTGACTTGTGCGACTCTTCGCAGTGTCAACACTTTCTCACCCAGCGAAGCTATGGGCTTCAGTGACTCAGTCCGGAAGCAGATGTTTCAAGCAAGGCTCTGCCAATGTCTGAAAGGGATTCCCAAAGAGTCATGGTACGCCTGCACCAAGCACATAAGCCGGCATGGCGGGAGAAAAGATTCGGTTGGGTTCACATGGCGCACGGGCCTTCACTTTGGGCAGCACCTCCTCGTAGGTCTCATTGCTTCCAGTAGCATAATGGTAGTACCCTTGCGGGTCAGCGAGACACTTTTGAAGCAAACACAAGCATCCTGCCCTGTGCCATGCCCTGGGCCCGGACCACCGTTGTCGGTCCAAAATCCAATGCTTCCAACCACATCGTCCCCTGCGATTTGGAGATGCAGCGTTCCACGACATGAGCGGCTTCTGTCACATGTCCCGTGAGATGCAGATGGCAGAGAGATGGAACACATGATGAGCAGGGGTTGCGGGCTACCGTGACTCTCAGCACACTGATCCCTTAAGCGAGTCCAGGCTGTACAACGTTCCACTCCGGCTTCAGGCTTACTGCCTTTTTTGCTGTCAAGCCCAGGCTTATGCCGTCTCACGCCAAGTTGCTGTACATGTCTGCCCGCTGCTTGCCGGTGAATCTCAGCATCAGGTCGCCCCATGCCATCATGCCTGCAGAGCGGACAAGCTCCTAGCGGACATCACTCCGACATCACTCCGGCACCGTCAAGGATCCCGAAGGCTGCAGAGAGGATGAATGTCTGCTTCCAGCCAGAAGGGATGAAGGAAACTGTGCCCTTCCTCGGTGGAGAGCGGCACTTCACTCGTCACATTCTCTTGCAAGCCTATTTGCAAGTGGAAGGGGTCGAAAGAGGCAGGGTCTGCCTCACTGGTGCGGATTTTGGGGACTCCGGTTGATGCTGTGCGTCACTCCCGCTCCGACCATCCCGTCGCCGGCCTCAGCAAGAAGCAACGGGCACAACAACTGTGCGAAGGAAGATGCTCCGAGACTGCCGATTTCCACACCGATTGCTGCAGGTTGCAGGCAAGGCTCGAACATGTGCTGTGCCTCAGGGACGGTCGGGCCCAGCGCCACCGGGGCTGACCACTCTCACAGACTCTCACAGCCCTGCCTTGGGCGTGGCAAGCGGGGCGAAGACAGTCATGGGCCGCGAGGAAGCTGTGGCATTGTAGAGGACCAGAGGCGCCCCACCCTGGTGAGTAGGAGCGAAGCTGGCCAGCTTACCTCGCAAGTCCAAGTTTTCCCCCGTACTTTTCTTCGGCAATTTCTCTGCACAGCCCCACTTCAAGTGCAGTGATGCAGTCTAGCTTCAGTGTCGCATGCTTGGGAAGACGCCGTGGTAAGCAAAGCAATCAAGATCACCAGCACGGGCATTGCTCTTGAAGCTTGGGAACAGGGTAGCTGGTGCCTGGGCACACGTGGTGGTCACAGCGAGCCGAAGGAGAGTTTCAGTGTCGAGGATGTCTCAGGGGAGCACCACCAGCTTGGTACCCCATGGTGCAGCTTCCAAGTGCAAATCCTTTGGGAAGAACTGCCTTGGAAAATGCGACTACCATTTCGTGGGTGTCATGAAACCGTGGACAAGGCTTCCTGAAACTAGCATCTCGAACCTTCGCTTTGCAGAACAGATGGAATGGCAACGAAGCTTTCACTTGCGCGACCGGGATGCTCAAAAACGAGACAGCTGGGATCCACGTCGTATGCTCGGATTGATGTGTGCCTCGGCGCAGTAGTCCGTGTAGAAGTCGGACCCAACATGATGTTTGAAAGTGCATGTCTCCATTCACTCCGAGATGCATGAGGGGATCCTTGTCGCCAGGACGGCCCCACATCATTGTCTCTGACGTGTAGCCTTGAACACACTACTGATGCGACAAGGCCCACGACTCAACCAGCAGCCCTTGACTGCCTCCCAGAGCATCACTCCCAACAGCGCGGGCTTGCGAGAGTAGCGTGAGGCCAGCATGGCTGGACCACTGACCAACACGCACCTGAAGGGAAGGGGCAAAGCATGCAGAGCTCAAATTCCGAAAGGCAGACAAACTTCTACCAACTCTCACCACGGGTGGCCTCGCCGCTCTCCAACCACGGCAAGCCATCCAAAGTCACTACAAAGCCTTAGCAGTTTGCGCAGGAGTGTTGCCGGCGCAATGCAAGGCTGCATACCTATGACATGTTCGCAGGACTTTAAAGGCCTTGGCAATTGGAAACTGATAGACGTGAGGCTCGGCGGTGCTTTAAGAAGGCTTAGCTGCCCAAACTTCGAACCACCACACGTTAGATTCCGATAGTGCGAACAGACTCCATGGCACGGTCAGTGGAACATGCTTTTTGGACCTTTTTGGGGCCCTTCTGCTCACTCTGCTCGGTAGGGTCTTTCTTCTGCTTGTTTCCGCGGATGTCGTTCTCGCGCCGCCTTTTCTGCCAAGGTGCCACCAGACGAATCCACGGCTGCATGCAGATGTGGCGCCCCAGCAGCGAGAGGCAGACCCAAGAGAGCCCAGAACAGATCCATGCGCTGGATCATCTTGCAAGCTCTTAGGTGATGCCAATGCGATCTTACACAGCAATTATCTCGGCCAGCTCTATAGGACTGCTAAGTCAGCTGTCGGAATCCTAGTTCTAGCACATGCAGCTATGCAACAACTCTCATGTCCATCTACATCCATCTGCATCTACCCACCCGATCATAGGGCTACTTAGCCATAACGCCTGTGGAAGGAGCATCCGGATCAAGACCGCTGATCCTCGCCAGCACAAGCCCACCTGAGCTCGTGTTACCTTGCACTGACGATCCTTTGCGGCATGAGAGCCCTGCGAGCTGAACTGGCAGTGGGCTTGTGCCACCGCCATCGACCGCTAAGTAAGGCTGGGGCATATTGCACATTCCCGGACCGAAGGGAATTTAGGTGAGGCTTGCCTAATCTTACCTACTTAATCCTACTTACCCAGTCTTCCCAACCGGTCAAGAAAGCCCGGGCAGCTTGCTGCAACCACCACCCCAGCCTACAAGAGCAGGACTACAGGAGTCGACATCCCCCACCTCTGCCGTTTTCTTCCTGCGGATTGCCACACACCACTGGACCTTTCACAGCCTCGGGCAGAAATCGTCATATGCCAGGTCGAATCTTCGAACAAGCATGCCCGACGTCTCTGTCAAAGCTGGCACCCGCCTCGAGCAAGATTCCGCGCTGCTCTTCACTCCCTCCAAGACAGCCCCAGTGCTGCTTCAGCTCAAGGATGCCATTCCGCGCCTGAGGCTTTGATCAGCACATCCCAGAAGAGGAAGAACAAAATGAAAAGAAGACAAAAAGACAACAAAATCCAAGCTTGCCTTGGTGCGTTTCTCGGCTGTCTCCGAGACCGGCAGGTCAGAGCCTGGGAAAGGTTCCAGCATGTTGCTGCTCATGTTGTTGCGTTCCACCTTTGCGGCAAGATGCCGTCAACCTATTTCTGCTTCTGCTCTGGAAGTTGTTCAAAGCACTGAGGCACCGGCGGAAGATGTCTGCTACGAAACAAGCAAGGCTGTGGTAAGCCTCAGCGCGCCCGCCGGCGCCACCCGGCCCTGCCGCCATCTCCTTGCAATGACTAGACGAATAGCATCACAGGGCCTCAGGAGACGACAATCTAGAATCTAGGCATATTTCGGGCAAGGCACTAAGAGGCAAGCAAGCACTAAACCCGCCAACCACATAGCTCAAAGGCGGGTGATCGGCGGGTATGAGAGGTTGCTTGCTGATGTTGGTTATTAAGCCCGAGAATGCCCATAATCAACCCTGTAAGGCCTTTTTGGGGGGTTTGGTGAGTTGTCTGAAGAGATGATTGTCATGGAGTGCTTTGTAGGGTCAGGCAAGATGGACAGGTCCATGTTCGAAGCCTTGCCGAAGGTCCTTCGAATGGTCCTTCACAGCTGCGAGGAACTCATCCAGCGGTTTGGCATCCTGGTACAATACGACACTTGTACCACGACTGGGTTCCACCTGATCTGGTATGTAAAGATTCAAAGCGTTCGCTCTTCGATGAGGGGCTCGCATGGCAAGAAAGTCGAACGAAAAGCACTGTGCGCCACGAACAACTGCGAAATTCTGCGAACGTCTAATGAGGCAGCCGCGTCCTCCGCAGCAGTAACGCACAGTCCGCGGATCAGCAAAATGTCCAACAGCAGATCGCAATGCTGCAGGGTTCCTTGCGAGGAGTCAGTTCGGATCTCCGACTGATGTCCAAGTTGAATGCCAAGGTGGGAAGACATGCTGCGTTGAGAAGTCGGAAGCAGAAATGTACGCTACTTCTGCACGCCCTTTGGGCTCCATTTACGAGTACACGGAGTACACATACTCGTGCTGCCGGGATGCCCTTGGACCCATCCTTGGGCAGCGAGAGGCCCTTGCAGCCCTGCAGCACTCGGCGCCAGCGTGGCTCTGCCATTTGGGCCTGTTCTAAGCTGTTCTAAGCCCCAAGCCTGCCAAGACAATACCGCACCCTGCTCTGCACCTGTACCCTGCGTGAATTTGTCTCGACGCGCATCGGAGTTCTCAACTGCTAGACAGTAGCTCACCCAACTCCATCAAGCCATCCTGCTATGCGAGTCGTGAACTCTTTGCTGCTTCGGGTGCTACTGTAGCTATTTTGGCTCAAGCCACGAGTGGTTCGAGCCCCCAGCCCCATGAGAGGGGAGTGGAGGGAGAAAGAGAGAGAGAGCGAGAGAGAGAGAGAGGAAAAGGGCGAAGGGGCCCCTGTGTCGGGAAGCACCTGCCAACTAATTGTGGCACAGTCCTGTTGAGAAAGAATGTGACAGCGGTAACACCCTCACAATTCGAATGATTTAATATGGATATCTGGGCATTAACAGAAAGAAGCGCAACAATATGTCAAGATGGTTCAGCACTCGTTCAGAATTAGGGATGTAAGCTTTGAGTCGCAGGCCCAATATTCTCTAGTTGGAGTGTGCATTTGGAGCCGTGGTGGCGAGAAGCCAGACTGACAACGTAACTGCACTAGTGTAGTGAATTGAGGAACGCTGCTTGAAAACGCACAGGCCCGCACGTGTTAAGATGAAACGTGGTTGCGAGAGCAGCTGCGGCACAGGTTCAGGCCAGGGCCAATAGAGGTAAACAGAGGGCTTAGGGCTTAGGTACACTAGATCGGCTTAGGTACACTAGATCTACCAGGGCCCTACGGTGACTAGAAAAGGCAACATGTGCCTGTTGACGCGATTCCAGCCGCCAGAGCCTTGGATTTAAAAAAGTCGCAAAACAGGAAGCTCCAGAAACAACGCACAAAGTATCACGAATGAGCCATTAATTAGCCATCAGGTCCATCAACGGGTTCCTTCCTGCAAACCTTTCTCGTGATCTTCATCTGCAACAAGGTGGCAGATTGAGCGCGTTGAGCTGCACCTGCAAAGGTATATGCAGAAACTTCACTTCAGCCAAGTTCTTGGCACTTGTCGTTCTAACGGCGAGCACGTCGACACTGTGCCTGAGGGTCGCTGCCCTGGGCTAGGCCTGCTGGGCCTTCTGGCCACAATCGCTCCTGACACATCAAAAGAAGCACAGCGAATCTGTGCATCAAGCGGTGTGCAGCGCTGGCGAGGCACATCAAAGATAGTAAGGGCAGGCTCGAAGTTTTGACTCTCTGTGTACCTTGCGCAGTTCACAGAGGTCTGCTTAAGGCTCCCAGGCTGCTCGAATCACCACATTTTCTCGCTGACTCTGAGGCTCACCAAGGTGCAAGAGCGCCAGGTGCCACCAACAGTGCGTGTAGAGAAAGGGGTGCAAGTCCTCGTTTTCAGCGATCAGAGGAACGATATAGGCACTCCCAGTCTAAACCGGATGAAAAGGGCCCCCCAAAAAAGGGGCAGATGCCAAGCCTCCTTGGCCCAGGTCGCGCAGCGCTCTTTCATGAAAGACATCGCATCTTC